ACTACTATTACTACTACTATTACTACTACTACTACTACTACTACTACTACTACTACTACTACTACTACTACTACTACTACTATTACTACTACTACTACACTATTACTACTACTACCATAACAACTACTACTATCACCACCACCATTACCATCACTATAATTATCACAACCACTATTCACAAAACACTACTATCACTACTACTGCTATTATAATTATCGATTATTAGCATTACTATTGTTATTACGATTGCCGAGAACAAGAAAAGTTGCTAGCCAAATTTATATGCTTAACATAGTTACAGAGGTACCTATTAAGCCTCAGAAAAGTCATAGTTTTTAAAGCATTACTTCTTGTACATACAATTAAGGATAGTTGAAACTATTTTTTGGATGTAACGAATACAATCGTTATTTTCAGCACGGAGTCTAGTAACAAGAATCAAAAAAGGGATGATAAAGGTAACTATACGGAGCGTGTTTCACAACGAAAGAATTTTAGGAGAATGTTCCCCGACAGTCAGGACACGCCACGATCGTCTTTTTGTTTTCGCAGACAAGAAAAATTCACAAGTTAGCCCCGTTAACGCGAGCAGCAGAAATTTATGGGTATCCGGATTGTCTTCGAGCACTCGTGCCACCGATTTGAAGCAAATATTTTCAAAATACGGAAAGGTGATCGGCGCGAAAGTGGTTACGAACGCGAGGACACCCGGCGCAAGATGCTACGGATACGTGACCATGTCGACGAGCGAAGACGCCGCGAAATGCATCCAGCATTTGCACAAGACGGAACTCCATGGCCGCGTGATATCCGTCGAAAAGGTAGGTATTGCCACGATGAGGAAAGGGGGCGGAACCGAAAAAAAAACGTGACCATCGTCTAGAGTTTCCGGCGTTGCGATTCCCTCCGGTGGAATCGTCGACGAATCACCGATTCGGTTTGCGTTTCAAGGCGAAAGGCGACACGCAGCAAAGTCACATGCGAAAACGGGACACCGCCAACGGGAAGTCTGAAAAGAAGGAAGAAAAGGACAAGTTGAAGGATAATCACGACACAGCCGACCGGAAGGAGAAAGAGGCGAAAAAGGAAAAGAGCGAAGAGAAGGGATCGGAAGCAAGTGAGTGATCGACACACAGTTTCTCTAGGCGAAAAGAGCGTCGACGAATCACCATTAAAAGAAACGTTTAAATGTGCGGCAGCGAAAAAGTCGGACGAGAAAGGCGAGATTGGCGAAAACAAGAAGACGGAGGCGCAGGAGAAGAAGGACGATGCTTTGAAGGAATCGGACTCGCGATCGACCAAATCGACCAGCAAGAAACCGGAGAGCGAGAGAGGACGACGTGACGAGAAGAGGATTCGGTCGTGGGACCATCACCGATCTCACACACGATCCCGTAGTCGCGAGCGACGCAGACGCGACGATGTGCTCACGTTCGCAAAGATCAGGGTAAAGAACGCGCCGAGACGGGATTGATTGTTTAGCGATACGTTGCGTTCCTTTACAGCTCCCGTTCGTTCGATCGCCTATGGCCTGTGGTCTATACCGTCGAAGCACGCTACGCTGGCGATTATTAAGTACGGGTCTCTGCTTTCAGGAAGAACGGGAGAGGCAGAGATTGCGTGAGAAAGAGCGAATGCTTCGAGAAGAGGAACGTAGAAGGCGAGAGGATATGGAACGACAAAGGGAAATCGAGCGCAGACACAGAGAAGAGGCAGCACGCTTGGACAGAGAACGAGAGAAGCTTCGTCGGGAACGGGAGAGGATCGAACAAGAGAAAGCCGAGCTTCTTCGTCTTGAACGGGAACGTCAGAAGCTCGAACGGGAGAAGTTGGAACGTGAGAGGCTCGAACTCAAGAGGCAACAGATGCGGCTTGAAGAGAGCAGACGTGCGCCTCCTCCGCCCTCCATAAAGCGGTCCTCCAGCGACAGAAGAGATCCAAGAGACATGTACGTCGAACCGGACAGGAAACGCATAGCCACCGAGCACAGTCGAAGACACACTCCGGATCGCGTCAGCGATCGTCGCGGTGAGATTCTGGATCGCGTCTCCGACAGACGATTGGACTCGTCACCGCCTGCTCGTTACGAATCTAGCAGGTACTGTATGCGAGCCATTTATGGATCCGCAAAATCTTGCTCGAGGCTACAATACCTTCATTGTAAAACCATGAAATTCGACTTGCTCCAGATCCACTCAAGACATAGGATTGAAGAAAGAATTTAAGCGCAGCAGTGACTTTACTTCGCGCAGTAGTCGTCCGGAAAGTTTCTCCGACGTTTCTCGCGGTAGGGAAGTGATCGTTCGCCGAGAACCGCTCAGCACGACCACCTCGTCGATCGATCCCCGGCAAGTTAAAGAGAGGTAATTCGATTGCCGGTTAGCTGCGCTTACCATGCTCCTTTCGTTCTCAGTCGAATTGGCTCGAACTCTGCCGAATCGTTTTCTTTTCCAGCAGATACGAGCGACCAAGCACGACCACGTACACACGCGAGCGCGAAGTGCGTCGATCCGAACCTGAAACCCATAGAAGTTCCAGGGACAGTCATACGCGTTACAGCGAAAGTTTCAAACCCACCGGCTCGACCACGCCGCGTGAGTATCGCGCGATTCCTAAAGATCCCGTTGCCGGTGCGTCCAGGAAAAAATAAACGAATAAATAAATCTCGGGTCCCCGCAGGTGACAGTCGCTACGTGGAGAGCAATAGAACGACTAGCAGCTGGCACTCGGGACCGCCTTCCACGAAATCATTTAATTCCGTGCCTAGTAGCGGCACCCGGGATCCGCGAAACGAACCATCCAGCTGGAGTTCCAGATCGTCGGACAACGTAAACAGGTACGCGCACCCTGCACAGACATTCGGCTCCGATCGAATCCGGAAACACCTACCGATACGATGGACGATCGATCAATTCCAGATGGAGTAATTCGAGCAGCATGGGAAATACGTTGCGCCATCCTGTCCCGCCGACTTACCAGAGCGGTCCTATTCAATCTATGGGATTGACAGCACCTGGAACAGCACCGTCGTACGATCGCTTCGATCCTTACAAATCGTCCATGCCAAGCATGAGAAAATACTGATTCTCCGTAACCGATGCGGGACACCGTAACGAATGATCCACACCCGGTTCGGTTCTACAACTCGACTCGACCCGATTCGACCCGACTCGATTTGTTTCGTTTCGGTTCGGTTCTAGTACGTACAACGCGTTCGCGCGAGGAACCTATACCCTATACCTATTACCTATACCTACACCACAATACCATCCCTATTTCTACTCCTATTCTCATTCGCAATTTGTAATTTGAATTTGCATCCGCACTTGCATTCGCCCCAGTCACGTGGGCGACATGTTTGCGTCGCATCAAACCGGAAACTTTTAGCGCAATTTAGCGACTAGTCTTTGTTGCGATCACCCGCGCGCAGCTTCTAACTTCTGAGACGATCGCGGGACACGTGATACGCGATCGACGATACCCTTTTCTTTTTTTTTTTCTTTTTACTTTGATTTCTTATTTTTTATTTTTTTCAATATGCCACGCAACGCGACCACACGAACAACAGGCACGAATCGCAACGGTCCGATCGGTCGTCGCGACATCAATGAATTTTGTACAACCGTGAATGAACATTATACATAACGATCGAATGATATTAATTGTGAAACGCTACTCGCTCTATTGATTGCGATTCCGATTCCGATTCCGTTTGTACGATACGTTGCCGTATTTTCATCCAACCAACGCCAAGATCCCTCGTTCGTTTACATCGATGAATATATTCTTCTAGCACGTTAAGGTATATTGTATTTTACAATTTTATCGTGTACCTTTAACCGACGATTACTACGCGGAACAACACGCATACACTCAAAGAGACACGTACATGTACACGTACATCTACACAACACGCACACTTCGAATCTCTCACGATTCGACGCGGGCGCGCGCGTACATATTCTATAAGAATATGACTGAATTTGTATATTGAATTCCATAAGAATTGTATATCGAGCGACGTTGAAATCTACATTCATACGTGAAGCACACGTACCACGTTTCAGTGTAGCAACAATTATTACGGTATAAATAAATTTATGGCATATTAGTAGCTGTCGTTTCGCAATCTCATTGCAATTTCCGTTCGGCTTTGTGTTGCTCGCACAATATGTATGCTTCGTCCAGTAATCTTTAATAGTCGATGGACCCCAGGCGGAGCAAAGCGACTCGCTTCCGAACACGCTCGAAGCGCGTTGCGTCCGATCGCGCGACCTACGATCCGAAAGTGGAAAGAAAGAACAACAGGTAGCAATCACCGATGGGAGGGAACACTTTCCCTTGGTCGAAGCAGCAATGCGGCGAGTCCGGGACTACGATCGTCGAGCAAGGAAAGGCGAGATGGAAAAGAAACCGGAGAGAGTGAGGGAACGAGTCCGTCGAAAGCAAAGTGTGTCGAGGTCTTTTCACGGACAGTCATCGCACGACCGAGCTCCGGCTCCGAAGCACCCACGGTCCTCGGTCCTCGGTCTTAGAATTTCGGCCGTCTTCATTCCTCGTTCGCGTTTCTTTCATCTGCTCCTTTTTTTTCTCCGTGCTGCCGGACACGAGGCTTCGCCACCTACTCGCTTCGATCTCCGTGTTTTCAGGCACCTATCGACATCCTTCGTCACCCCGCTCTCGATCATCTCTCTGTCTTCTCCGTCCTTCCCCCCTCCCTTTTCATCTATTTGGTTTTTCCTGTCTCTCCGCGTCTCTCTCGCTCTCTCTTTTGCTTGCTCACTCACTCTCGCTTACTCTTCACGCTTTACTCTTTCTCTCTGGCTGATTGTCGGGAGGACGATAGACGATGAACAATTCGCCGGTACCGACGCGGCCGCGACAACTCTATCGAAATAGTTTGAGGCCGCACGTCTCCTCGCAGGTATCGGTAGTGGTAGCGGCTAACCGTCTGGAATGTCTGTGAATGGGAATCGTTGACGTTCGACACTGCTCCAGGATGTTGCCGTCCGTCGTTCTTTTCGGTAAGTTGGTTCGTCGACGACGAACGCCGCGACCGACGTTTCCTCTCGAAAGTTGTCCCAGGTCCTGTCGGAACACCTATCGTTCTCGTCTGAACGAAACGCGAGGAAACGAAACGATTTCATTGATCGAACAGCGGTTGCTCGAACGAGCGATTAGAATTTCGCGCGAACGCTTTTGAAAGGACCGCCCCCGTCCCGACGCGACGCGCTACCACCCCATCGCTCTATCACCGAGCTCCAGGCCGCGCTTCCCTTGTAACAGATTCCCGCTCGATCGTCGATCCTGCCGCGAGTTCGCAGGATGCGGGTCAAAGGTTGCATCTACGATCGATGCGACAACGTCGGTGAAAAAATCGGTCGTCGGAAAAATTCGGATTCGTGGTAGCGCGACGAATTCGCTTCTTGTTTTTGGATCGGCCGGGATCTTGCGTTCGCGAAACGCCAAAGGTCGGGCATGAATCGTCGATGAATCAGTGAACGGAAGAAAGAGCCGCGCTTTCTCGTCTCGGGCAACTTTCACCGTCGATAATGTTCGTGGTACGTCAGCTCGTTCCGAAATGTCTTCACGTTCGCCGCTGCCTCATCGGCGTACCCTCCTCCCTTGCTCGTTCGCCGAACCGAGACGATCGTAATTTCATCCGGCTCTCCCTCGGGTGACACCGAGAGCTTCTCGCCGGGGGTTACCGGAATGCAAGTACAGTAATGTCTCTCTAATTGTCCACAAAAATGGACAATTTGCGAGGAGCCTTGCGACTCGTTTTTATAGTTACCGATTGTCAACGATTATAAAAGCATAGTGCAAAGCCGGAATAATCGTATCTCCTGTTCCCGAATTGTCCATTTTTCTGCACAATCTGAGCGTCAGTTAGGGAGACATTACTGTACATTCATACAGTAATGTCTTTCTAACTGACGCTCAGATTGTCCACAAAAGCGGACAATTAAGGAAGAGAAGATACGATTGTCCGATCCTTGTGGTTCATTTTTACAGTTACGAATTGTCAACAACTACAAAAACGTGCTGCAAGGCTCGAATAATCGTATCTCCTCTTCCGAAATTGTCCATTTTTCTGCACAATCTGAGCGTCAATTAGAGAGACACTACTGTATCGCGTTTCCCAGAAAAGTCGAAAGTCGTCCTCGGACGGATAAACCCCGATCGTTGCGCAACAAGATCGGACCCCGCCGTTGAGCAATCTCTCTGTTCGATGGAAAGAAAGATCCGCGCTCTCTTGTCAGCCAAACGAATGTTTCAGAGCTCTGCACGATATGGATTTTGCTAACGAGCTCCTGGTGTTCTAGCGACGATGTAGCGCGATACAGTTATCGTAAGTAAACGAAACGACGCGAATCCCGCGTGAAACGGCGGACACGGGAATGAGTTCTAATCGCGAGCGTCCATGTTTTCAGCAGCGAGATACGGGATACCGAGTTCGCCGATGTTCGCGGGACCGATGGCGGGACCGGTCGCCGGGCCGTGGCGGCGAACGGCCCTCGACGATCCGCGAAGACCAGGAGCTTTCCGGAGGGACACGAGAAACCACGGGAAGCTGGTTCGAGTGAAGCTTGCGAGACGCGAGGAGCCCGACCCGTTGATCGCCATCAGCGAGACTTTGGGCGCCTTGAACACGGTCGGCAGCTACATCGTCAACATGACCAGAGGCGTGGAGAACTCGAATTATCCGCCGAAGGAGCTACCCTCGGCCATATACACCATCTCGAAGAACATTCTCGGTAGAAATCTCGCGTTTTCCATTTTTATTTGCGTTCTCCAGTCTCGATGACCAGCCGTTTCTTTGCTCTCGTTCCCAGGTCGCAACGTAACGGACAGCATAGCGCCATTGGTACGCGGAGTGGCCCTGCCGTTGCGGAACCCGCCTGTTTCTTCGGACTCTTCAGCATCGGCCTCCTCCTCTTCTATAGCTCCTTTGACTTCGTCGTCTCCTTTGTCGTCCCCGCCCGTGTCTCCGCCGGCGTCCGCATTCTCGTCCAAGGTCTCGACGGACGATGTTGCCAGCAACAGAGAGAAGGACTCGTTGCCGGTATCGGTGTCGTCGTCGGGCTGCACGTCCGCCGACGGCACCCCAGGGAATTGCCAGGATCTGAGCAACTGTCCTCAGCTTTTGCTGGATTTAAACAAGCTCAGACAGTCTCTCTGCTTCAAAAGCTTGTTCGTCCCTGGCGTATGCTGTCCTCTCACCGACAAACCCGAGATCGCTGGGTAACTTGTTCCACCAGTTTATTTATTTATTTATTCGTTGAATATTATGGAAAGTTAAATGGAAGTAAATGGACTAAAAAAAACTTTTAGCGAATCGATCGGTGTGATTCCGGCGAGCGGAATCGTCGGCGCGCACACCCAACGTCCGCCGTTACGACCGACGAAGCTGCAAACACCTCGGCCTATTCCGCTGTTCCCTGTCCCGTCGACGACCACGTTGGCGACCGTCGCAGGCCCACACCTTGGTCACCCGGACGGCCAGAATCTGTCGACGACCGAATCGAACGCGGTGTCCGTCGCCGAGCCGAGCGTGTCGAACCTCGACAACAACTTTATACAAGACGACGAGGGTAAAGAGGGAAGAGAGTGAGACGAGAGTAAAAGGGAGGATAAAGCGTGATTTTTCGTTTGCAGAGTGCGGCGTGAGAAATTCAGGGAAGTATCGAGTTGTCGGCGGCGAGGAAGCCTTGCCCGGACGTTGGCCGTGGATGGCAGCGATCTTTTTACACGGCGCGAAACGTACCGAATTCTGGTGCGGGGGCTCGCTAATTGGACCGAGGCACATCCTCACAGCTGCCCATTGCATGCGCGATCAACGTCAACGACCGTGAGTGCCAATCAAGTTGCTATTAAGTAGACTGCGGATCTTTACGTATTTATAGTATGCTCGGATCTCTGAAATGCAAGAAAATATACAAATTATGTAACAAGAACCAATATTATCTTTATTTTATTTTTTCTATTATTAATTTTTCTATGATTCTCGTTTTTACTAAATGAAACGTACGAAATTGGCAATTTGCATGCAGATCCACAGTCCACCATTGAAATTGCATAATCGCCGATGTTCCGGCATATCTTTCGAGTGCTCGATATCGTAATATCGTGGCGCATGCACTTGCATGCGGGTGCACAGGTTCGCGGCGAGGCAATTCACCGTGAGGCTCGGAGACATAGATCTCGAGAGGGACGACGAACCGTCCGCCCCGGAAACCTACACGGTCAAGCAAATAAACGCGCATCCGAAGTTCTCCAGGGTCGGGTTCTACAACGACATCGCGGTCCTCGAGCTGTCCAAACCCGTACGAAAGTCGCCGTACGTGATACCGATCTGCCTGCCGCAATCGCGTTATCGGAACGAACGATTCACTGGCGCGAGGCCCACCGTGGTCGGATGGGGCACCACTTATTACGGTACGTTTCGTCTAATTATTTATGATTGTGCAATAGTTCGATCCTATTTAAATTGATTTGGTTGCACCTCGAATCGTGGATATATATGCAGGGTGTCCCAAAAATGTCTCGCAAACCGGAAATGGGTGATTCCTGTGGCGATTTGAAGCAACTTTTTCATTAGCGAAAATGCAATCCGCTGCTTTGTTTACGAGATTACGTCGAGTTTATTTACATTATATACGTATCTACGTTTCTGCAAACAGGCGGCAAAGAGAGCACCGTGCAGAGACAAGCGGTTCTTCCAGTCTGGAGGAACGAGGATTGCAACTCGGCTTATTTTCAACCGATTACCAGCAACTTTTTGTGCGCCGGATACAGGCAGGGTGGCAAAGACGCCTGCCAAGGGGATTCCGGGGGTCCGTTGATGCTCAGAGCCGACGGTCGTTGGATTCAAATCGGTATCGTCTCTTTCGGCAACAAGTGCGGGGAACCCGGTTATCCTGGCGTTTACACGCGCGTCACCGAGTACACCGACTGGATCAAAAACAATCTCTGATCGATCGGGATCGCGATCACGGATGAGAACGAAACGATACGATAAGGTTGTCGTACTGTGCTATGCTGTGTCGTGCTGCGCTATGCCACGCTATGCGCTATTAACAAAGAAATCGCGTGTTCCTACAACTTTTATCACGGGCGCGTGCCAAGAATTATCATTAAACAGTAACTAGAACTGGTTGCTATAATATTATCGTTGTTGTCGTCGTTGTTGTTAATCTTATTGTTACCATTACGTCGTTCTTATTATTAACGACGTTATTTTTACTTACTTTTGTATTACATCGTGTATCATAATATCGTGCATCGGTATTACTTTGACTCGTGCGAAACCATCGCATCGGAATATCAAAGAATCTCGTCCCGATAAATTCCAAATAAACGCAAGTGCCTATCAAGAAGTAAGCTGTAAATAAAATCACGATTTCTCGTTGCGCGCGTCCATTGTTCTATAAACGCGTCACGCGATTCCATTCGAAATTTCTGCGTTTGTCTGTCCGCGACAACCCGTGCGCGTCTTTTCACATCTTTCCGCATCTCTTTTAACTGATCGATCAAATCTAAAGTAATGGGGCCGTCGAACATGAAAAGCAAAAGCGTTTCGGTTCAAAATTTAGAGAGTCTCGTGAAGCAAGTGGTGAACGAAGCGCTGGAGGATAACGGTTAGTTGCAGCGAAACGGAAACTAATATGCATCGAGAATGTGCTCAGAATGTGTTCGCCTTTTCATTCAGAACAAGTGATCAAGTTTCGTCGAATGATCTACGAGGAATGGTATTTCAAGAAACGGTCCGAACAAACGGACACGAATCGCGAGGGAGACGAGGTAATTCGGGCAATCGAGGGATTTTTTTTTAGGAAATTTGATCGTTTCCTCTGTTACTTTCCCTTTCTTTCCAGGATATATCGGGAACCGTTGTTCATCGTAGATCGAATCGGAAGAAATACAAGCGTGCAACAGTTCTATCTTCCGCAAAATTATTGCAAGAGGCCGATCCACCGAACGAATGCGAAGAATTGCATGAGAACGTTTCGTTTTCCAAAGTATACAATAATGCAGAAATGTAGGAATGTAGATCGCCGCGTTCGAATATTCACAGATCTCGATATGCTTTTAGCGAGTTGACCAAAAGGACGTCGTCTCGACCGACGAAAACGTGATCGAGATTTGGCGTAAACCATTGAAGCGACCGCAAACGAAAAACGATTCGAGAAACCCCGTAAAGAACACGGAAGAAATTCGAAACCCGAACAGATTATCCTTCGAAGATTGGACCACTAAGAAGACTTTGGCGTATCGAGACATTCTGAAACGGAAGCAATGCGAGCAACGACTTCGTCGGGTATCGGTTTCTCGGGCAAACGCGGAACGTGGCCGAAAACAAATGCTGTTATCGCGACAGGTGTGCACCTCGTACGATTCGCTCAACTTTGATATATTCTATCCGTCGAATGTAACGTCTAATCGACTTCGCTTGATAAGATGCAAAATCGCAAGAGACAGCGGCGAAAACAAGCGACAGAATCTCACTTGAGTTACACGAAAAAAGAGGAAGATGCAAAATTCGATGCAGGGGAAACGCGAACGCAGAAAGCGCGGTAACGTAATTGGTTCTACAATGCATTTCCGTGAAAAACTTTTCACTGTACCGGAAAACGTGTTTCGAATTTGTTAGCAAAGGGATGCGAACGAGCATTCCACGGAAAATAAGACCAGCTTCGATGAAAATTATGGAGGCATTTGTCGTCAGTAAGTGGTTGAACCAATTGAATTCGATTCTGTACCAGAGGAGTCTAGGAGAACGTCGACACCTCGCGCAAACCTTTTACTGCTAGATACAACGGATGTTACTTTTTCATTATAAACAAACGAAATCTTTCGATCATTGACAAGATAAGTATTAAGAAAAAAAAATCTGCGTCTTGTCATTTTCTTTATTATCGAAATGAAAAGTTCACTATTCCCTACATTAACCGGCAATCAAATGCCTGTCGTGCAAATCCCTTATACGCTCGCTGCATTTTGAACACTTGTAATCTTTAGCTTCTACTAGATTTTTAGAAGAACGTTTTTACATTTCACATTTTACATTATACACTTTACATTATACAGCATGCGTATGTCTATACTTTTCCCCTATCGTTCTCTTTTAAATTGTTTATCGCCTTCTGAATTAGAACCCGCAAATTTTTTGGAAGGCTCATCTGTATGGAATGCAATTGATGCATGATTTGACTTTCCGAAGATGATACGTTGGCTTGAGCACTACCGCTCTTGTCCGAAGGCTCGATATCGCAAAACTCCTTGACATTTTCTACGTGATATCTGGTCGTCTCCACAAACTCCGCCATGTCTTTGTCGCCTATGGAAAACAGGAATGAAATCGATTAAATTATTCAACTATTCGGCACGGCAAGTCGCTTGATTCACTCACATCTCGCGTCCACGTTCGCGCCCGTATATCCTTCTAACAATTTCGTTGACGGCGATTCCACCGTACTATCCAATTCGCATATTCTCAAGGCCAATATTCTGTAATTATCGTACGCATTATCATCTCAGCAATTACCCGCAGTTCGTTTCATTTTCAAATGCGCTACTGACTTGTTTGCTTTCTTTTGATGCGCCAAAGCTAAAGTTTTATCGTTTAGCGCTTCGAGCAGAGCCACACATAGACATCGTAAATCCGACATCGCTGCTGCAGATTTCTGAGCTGGTACGTGAGAGTCGTGATGCAGCAATTGTTCCACTAAAAGTACATACTTCAGAAAGATATGCATTCCTGGAAGATTATCGCTGAACGCGCTGTAACAACAACTGACCTTGCTTGTGGGTCATAATCGTACCGGCAGTTGTATTAGCTCCCAATTTCACGGATCCTTTTATCCGTTTACTATCCAGCATACTCTGAAAATGTGATTATTTTATCACAGATCACGACAGAACGTTTTCAATCGTTGACAGCAATTTCAATAACCGTATAAATGTGCATCTTTACTTTGTATTTAGAAAGCGATTGCCTCGTCAGTTCGTTCTCCTCTAGTAACTGTTGTAATCTTTCTTGTAAATATCTAAAAAGTTTTAATTTTCGATAAATTTTCGCTAAACTATTCCGCAAATTAATCGATCCACATCTTACCTATTCTCATTGATGAGAGCATCTACGTCCACCGGCTTGGACGCGTTTAATGCTTTCGATAGTTCGTGATTCAGCCTATGTGCTTTACATTTAAACGCGTCCCTTTCCATTTCTAGTTCGTGTTTCTCATCTAAAACTATTTGTAAATCTGTTTGCAACTGAGTACACTGAAAAACAAATGTACCAGATGTTCTTGAAATCTATAATCACCAGATAGCATTATGTCATCTTAGGTTTGTGAGGACTAACTTTAACATTTAATCTCTCCAACTGTTCTATCATTTCTTCTCTTTGATGAACAGCAGTTGCGCATTGCGTGTCTTGCGGTTTAACATCTGCTCCGTTCTCTCCTAATTTTTGTCTTAAAGTCAATACTTGCAGTCTAAGGCATTTATTTTGTTCTCTAGCTTCCATCAATAAATCCAAAGTCTTAAAGTGTTTTTCTGGACTGTAACACCTACGAAACATTTTTATATTCATAACTGTCCCATTTATATCTAATATAGTTAAACAATATAATATTATAATTCAAATTGTTTACCCATTTGAATCTTGTATACTGTTTAGCTGTTTTTTCAACTGTATAAATCTTTCTTGCATCTGTTCTGCCATCGTCTTAAATTGATCTCCTTGCAATTTACATTCACGTAATTCCCTGTTCAAAGACTCGACTTCTTCCGATTTCATTTGCAATCGTTTCTCCAATATCTCCTGTAAATTCGATCGATTTTAGACACAAATCCTTCAAGTTTTAAAAGAAAAACATTGTTGATTATAATAACCTACTTTTGACGCGAGACTGTCATTATCACTCGTCATTGTGATATTAAAATTTTCCTCGTTTCTTTCGTGAGCCATAATTAGTTAAAGTGATAGAAATCAAATATTTTATACTCTCATGTACACTTTATGAACAATACTGTTTGTTTTCTGCTCAGAAAAATGAGGAAATACAACGAATGAGGGAAACAAACACAAAAGTAAGAGAGAAAAATCTATCGATTAAGTGTCGAATAATTAAACAGCATTCACGTGTCTGTTACCAACCGTTATTAAAATACGTAATGTATACAGTATACATAATAGTTTATTGGAGTCGTTAGAACCGAAATTACATGGCAATAATTATTGTTTACGTGTTTTAAACTGTTATTTCATTAGACATTTCTCACGTGTAGTGATAAGATGGGCGTATTTCTTTCTCTATGCGTACAATGTGTAAGACAAGGATAGCGATCAATTCGCCCGGTGGCGCCATCCACGGTGAAACGCTCAAACTGTTAGCTAAATAATTTGGCCTCCAGTTTCAGCGTTTTACCACCGATGACGCTACAATAGGCTGATGCGTACGCAGCATGTTCTTCGCATTACGCAGTTGATCGTCGACTGTTGTCGCTGGGCGTCCTTGTCGCGAGTGCGCAAAACGTTTACGCGGATCAACTTTGACGTACTACGTATTTAACCTAAAAGTACCATTCGGCAGTGTTTGTGACCGCCCGTGTTTATTTAAACAATATTTTTAATTTTTGAGTAAAATACAGGACAGTGTATTTCGAATTAAATAAATAATACCACAATTATATAATCATGGATAAACAAGGTGATTATCTTCGCGTCGTTTACTTTATAATTTGGTTTTAATGTTTCTATTTTTATGGATACTCTAGAAATATGTGATTACTTCAACGGTATTATTAAAAATGAAAAAGATGTTTCCGCTGGAATGGCTGCTATTCGGACGTTACTCAAAGTTTTAGAGTATTCAAAGTGTAAGTGTATTTTTTTAGAAGATGTTCGGTCAAGTTTCGGATTCATCGAAACATTAAATATTTCCTCTAATCGTAGCAGAGACAGTCCAGGAACTTAGGTATTGCTTACAAAATGCGATAGATGCGATGAGGTCCACGGATAATCCTGTTACTGCCATCGCATCTGGCAGTGAATTGTTTCTTCGTTTCATAACCTTAGCAACATTGGATACTTCGGTAAAGTAGTTATTAAGCCTTTTCTTGAAACCGACTTTTCTTCTTTCATTAATTACAAAACATGAAAAAAGTATCATATTTAATATTGTTCCTGTATCACTTATTAGTTTTTATTTCTTGTTATTTTCAATTAGTCGATTGCAGAATGCAAGGATATTATGCTTCATAGGGGAAAAATGTTTCATGAAAAATTAGTGGCAGCTAGAGGAAAGGTAGCAAAAGTAGCTGCCCATTTCATTACGGATGGATCTGTAAGTTTTCATTATTTCTTGAACATATTGTAATTTGTTCATGCCATCAATAGATTTGTAACATTGTGGTACATTTTAGAAAATCTTAACACATTCGAAATCTAGAGTAGTATTACAAGCAATGACAGAGGCTGCTCTCAGCAATAAGATATTTGAAGTCTATGTAACAAGTTCGTCTCCAGATAATAGTGGGTATGTTTTGTTCACATAGATTGTAGGTATTATCTCATACTTTGTTCTATACTTTGCAATATTACATTATTTTCTCAAACAATTATAGAAAGGAAATGTGTCGAAATTTAACCAAATTAGGTGTATCTTGTACACTCATATTAGATTCTGCAATGGGATATGTTATGGAGCAGGTTGATATGGTCATGGTAGGAGCAGAAGGTGTAGCAGAGAGTGGCGGTGTTATCAATAAGGTAAAAAAGTTATCGATCAAGCATCTATATGTATAGTTGTACATTGATACAATTTCCTTGTAGGTTGGCACATATACAATGGCAATGTGTGCCAAAGAAGTGAAAAAGCCTTTTTATGTACTTACCGAAAGTTTCAAATTTTCAAGAATTTATCCCTTAAACCAAGTTGATCTACCAGATGAATTTAAGGTAAAATATCAGTTTTTCTATATCCTTATGTTTTTCAATCCTATTCGTCTTTACATTTTTCTTTTTACAGTATACCGCGAACACATTAAAAAAAGATTTACGAAAGGAACATCCGTTAGTCGATTACACACCACCTCATTATATTAGCCTTTTGTTTACCGATTTAGGGATTTTAACACCTTCGGCCGTAAGTGATGAACTAATAAAATTATATTTGTAAAACATGTGTACAGTGAGTAAAATAAGTTTAATCTTTTTTTTTTCTAAGATTGTTGTACATAATATACACTTACTTACATAAGCGCCGGAGAAATTAGATTTTTATAAAAGACTACAGGCTTAGCAGCTCGTTTTTTGGAAAATCCTGAGTATTTGACCACATAAAAGTAAAATGTCAATCCTGTTCATAGTATAGACAAATTCCAAAATTTCGATTTTTCGAGAGGCATATATGGTATACGAATATACTTTTTCTTCCTACATGATTAAGTCAAATGTAAATTATGTGCACTCTATCGGTTAAATATCTCGCATATTTCACAGCAGTAATCGTGCAACATATAAAATAAAATTCTATGCACTGCATATACCTCGTGAAAATTAAATTTTCATGAATATTTAGCCTGTGTTGCACGTAATATGATTCAAATATACTTGACAATTTCTAGCAAGCATATTAGCATACAATCTACTTTTAACAATTATTTTTCACAATAATATGAGACAGCACAGTTCAAATTCACGATCTGAATAATCGTTATGGTATAAATATATGTATACAGTTTTCTTCTATAAGACTCTGGTGGACGGATAAATATTTAAAGGTAAAGTGAACTGAAAATTATTTGTATATAAAAAAGACGAAAGATACTTACGAAACAAGTATACACGATGTAATACATACATATAATACTATGCATAAATACATTAGGAAGATGAAATGCCAATTAGTATGTCATCGGTGTATCGATGTCTAAAAACAAAACTACTCAATTATCGGCAATTTAGGGAACATTGCTTATTGTCCGAACGAAGAAGGACACAATAATACCATGTTGAAAAGAGTAATGATCAAATCGTTCGGATAATAACCAATTTCATTTGTAACACTTATTTGCAATAAGTTCACTGGTAATTAAAAAAGAATTAGCCAATAGAAATTAAAAGCTTGGGACCATGTAGATACAATTGCTTGAAATTGAAACCGAAAATTCTCGATGAATTTTTAAGCGTGTTGTAAGCACATGTTCCAAAAGAAGATGTCATTTTTATGATCATTATTCTTTCATGAAACTTCTAATTTCTGATCTGGTTTACGGCTCACGTAAAAAATGTGAAAGTAATATTATACTTTATGAAGATTAGCACCAAATATAAACTTATCTTCTACAAATACGCCTGGGACAACGTTTCGACAACAGTGTATATATGATCGAAATGTGGGCGCTTTTCTGGTTCGTATTCCCAGCATCGTAACATTAAGCGGTATATTTCGTCAGGCGTGTTCTCCGGGGCTGGCATACGATACCCTGGAATGCCACGTATAGAGTTTATATCAATTCGAATTCAAGTATCGAGAGAAACCGTCTACAAAAGCACATTGAAACATATATATTACCCGCATCTATTTTCTCACGGGCCTGAGCATTAGACATTCCGCTGTAAGGATTTCCGCCCTTTGAAAATATTTCCCACATCAGTACTCCGTAACTCCAAACGTCGCATAGGGATGTGTATTTACCTGTATCAAGTATAACGATTACAAAATAATATTTCAAATCTGAAGAGAATTGAAATACTGAAACACATCATTTTTAAAGTGTGATGTATTATTGTCTCTATGAAATACCAAAATTCAATGCTTCCGGAGCGGTCCATTTAATCGGAATTTGTTTCATACCATCCGAAACTATATATTCTTCTTCCTCTCGTGACATACCAAAGTCTGAAATTTTTACTATGGACTCGTATCCTAAAATCCAAGGTTACACGGTATCTTTTCCTGTTCTCTTAAGAAAATTATCATGTAATAGTCGTATAACAAAAAGGTATTTTATTTATTTACCTACGAGACAATTTCGTGCTGCTAAGTCTCTGTGAATGCAGTATTTAGATTCCAAGTAGCGCATACCTGCCGCTGCGTCTTTACACATACGAAGCTGTTCTTGTTGCGTAATACTGCCAGAACTTTTTCTTAAATATGTTAGCAAGGAACCACCTGTCGTATACATATATACATTCGTTCGTTCGTCTATTCGAATTAATGAATGAATACGGTCTCGCTTTAAATTATTTACATACCGGGTACCAATTCCATAACGATCATGATCGGCTGTTTTTGAACACAAATTCCAATAAGTTTCACTACATTTGGATGATCGTATTGCTTTAATATTCGTCCTTCCTGCAAGAATTTACGTTTTTGTTCATCGGGTAACGTTACTTTGCAGGTTTTTACAGCTACTTCAGTCTTACAAGATTTAAGCTGCGCTTTATATACATCCCCAAAGTTACCCTATAAACAAACGAATCTTGATTAAATTTTGTGCAAGTTCTACGAAAGTGAAAATCGCTCTATAAGGTTTTCTTCGCGACTGCTTCCTTTTTAAATTTCAATATACCCGTCCTATTTTTTCTAGAAGAATTACATCATCGTTATTGAGTTCCCAACGTTCACGCAAGATCGGCGTTTTGAGAATAGCTCCGGACCGGCTAGTTACGGGTAGTCCGGATAACCATTGATGTCTAATCAACTCCTGAATCGACGGAAATGTAGGACCTTCGAATCTATAATGTCCCTAAAATTGAAATAAACAAAATCGTCAGCTTTATGCATTACAGATGCCCTTATAAAGTTATGATATATGCGCATTCTTACCTCGGTGGTTGTCTGTACAATAAAATGTTTATGCCCATCCCAACAAACAGATAAAACTATTTGGCACTCGTCGTTTCTTGTTGTTTCGCGTACTAAGAAGTCTCCTTCGTTCACTAGTAATCTTACTACCTCTTCCCTTGGCAGTACGCCATGAAACCATTCCTCCTCCATAAGATCGCCGTTTCCATTTCCTTTTTGATTATTCGTCAAATGTGAATTTCCACGTACCGGGGCCTAGAAACATTTTTTAATTAATCAACGGAATCAGATTATACTTTATACGAAATGTCTATTACAATTACAATATTGAGATTTCATCACGTCCATGTTAGCTGAAAAATATTCGGACTCGGTCAATTTGTACGAAATTGAACATGCTTAATATGTTAATGTTGACCATTTAGTACTGTTAATATCATTATCAATATTAATACCAAAGGTGATAAAAAAGCAAAACAAAAATTTGGAGGTCGTTGTCAAACTTGGTACATTTCTTTTCCACGTCTTCTCCAGCAAATGTTCGACATTACAAACAATGCAAAAGAAGCGGTATTGTTCAAGCAGATGTGCAGCAAACCATATTTACGCGTGTAACAAATACGGAAAGAACATACAACTGGTAAAGTACTATTCGGTTTTGAAGCAGGACTTTCACTGCTTGATCTAATCATTCCATCTGCTGTATTGTTTATCATTGGTAAAGATTTGAAAGGAGTCTTAAATATTGTCATGAACCGTTGATTCCTTCGCAACGTGCAGAAACGGATATCTGGCATTCTGGCTTTCTGAAAGTGTAGTAGTACTAACAAATAGTAGTCTTTCGATACTAAATAGTATTAGGCGTAGTCCGGTAATGCAAGAGTGAGATAGAAGACGTATTTATAATAGTAAGAAGATTTTTCCTGATCAATGAACACAATTCCAATTACCTTACTGATTGTAGGCGAATCAACGAAGGTACTTTCCATGGAAAGATCGTATCCTAATGGTAATTCCTCGCAACCTAACTCATTCAAAGCCGATCTAATAACGTCCACTTGTCGTTGAAGCTTCTTCTCCTGGCAACGTAAACGTAGTTCTTCTCTCTCACGGGTATAATCCAGAATCGATGCCCTGATAATGTTGAATGGTTAATCAGATTTCGTCTCAATCACATACACACTCGTTTTGATAATATAAAAGCTTTACTTAGAGTCGCTGTTATTTTCGGATGGATGCTGAGGATTCTGACGGTTCTGTTGAGTCGCTTTCAGAGAAGTTTCCAGTTCTGTTAACCGATTTCGTAACCAATCTATTGTTAGATTGTCGACTGTCAACCTATTTGGCAATAATTTCCCCGAGGTATCGTCTACAAGGTTCTCATCGAACGTGAATCTTATCGGCGATGCTGATCGTGTTCTGCATCGATCGTTACCAAATGTAGAGTTGTTGCATGTTAATTATATCAAAACAAAAGCAACTACAAAGTTACAAGTACCTATGTTCTCCCATGAAGTCCCTACACTCTTCCATGGGTTTCACCAAATCAACGGCTTTCTGCATTCGCAGATGTATCTCTTGAAATTTATCCGTTGTAAAATCAGAGTACTTCACTACATCCTGGAGTATGGCTTTCCTACCACAAATAGACAATATTATTTCTTTGTTTTCAAAATGACCATTATCAAAATGACCATTATTATTATTGACATTTACCTTGTACGTAACTATGTGCTTGCATATAGATTTTACACAAATTAGATTAGCGATCTACGATGCAAAAGTAGGAAGTACAGCATAAATTATTCCAGATACAGTAACAGAATTACTTACCAAGATGTTACCAGTTCTTGATGGATTGTCTGCTGTCGATGAAGGAGGCTTGGCAAATAAGATGTTCTCAAGTCATGTTCACATTCTGTTACAGCACCCAGGAGTAACACATATTCGTTGTGTGTGAGATGAAGTTTTCTGCAGGCCTTCTGATATTTCTCCCTTACTTCATCCAATTTTCTACCTACTCTGCCTGCTAAATATATCACAAAATATAGCAAAATGTCACAAACAAATACCGAAAATGCTTACATTTAACATAATATTCTTCAAAACGAGATCTCATTAGCTTATACACCTCTAGATTTTTCTGATATTCCAATTTCTTTCTGGCAACATCTTCGGTTAACTAAACAATGCCATAAAATTTCATTTAGATACAATATTTACATATACGCAGTATGTCGATATACATCTGATTGCATACCTGTTGAAACTGATTACTCAACCATGTCTGTTCTTCCTGATACAGTTTCCTGGTTTTCCTTCTCTCTGCACATAATATTGTAATGTGTTCAACCACTATATTGTCAACCTGGTCTGCTTGCTGTTTGATTAATTTAGCTGTTTGATCGACAGAATCCATAATATCTCTCCAACTCTAGAATGTGTCACAAAATAAAACTATTCTAATCTTAAACCTCGAAGCAGGCTAGATGAACTGCAAACTTTGAAAAAGTACCTGTGCTATGAGACTACCGATGAGATCTTCGTTTCGCTCGATCTTCTTTCCTTGCACTGCTAGAGAGGAAATCGTCGAAGCGTATTCGCGATCCGATTTGACTTTCATCGTCAAACATCGTTTCATCGTTTCAAGAAGCTTGATCTCGGCATCCTGACGACCGAGCAGAGCCTCGTGGAACGCTTGTCCTTGTAGACTTGTAGAAAACCCCATCCCGCTTATCGTTCGGATTAGTGTATCACCCAGTCACGTCTTTATTGACTTTTTTTTAAATATGTCAAGAAAAGAAATTCATTCTTGCGTTCGATTATACTGACACTAATAATCAATCGGTCGACGTCGATAAAATTTTGACAGACCACTCTAAGATACACCACATTTCAAGCAAAAATTTACGTACCAATTATTCGATTCGCCTCTCGCGCATCTTCGCATTCGCTCAGGTGGCTGAGATCAACATTTATATTTATACAGACCTCAAATTGTAAAAATTATCTTTTACTCATAAAATACCATCATGAAACAATTACCGATATGTAGAAGGTTGAATCTACGGTGTAAACAAGCATATCTCGATTAATTATTTTCAATGATTTTCATGTTTTGTTAGAGATTACCACCATTCGACGTTCAATAATTTACAATTACGTTTTGTTCGAACGCGATAACATATGATTTGTTGATTGTTGTGTGCAATTTATTTCAGATGCATAAATGCTTAGTACATACCTACATACATTACGTGCTCCACGTATGTATGTACATGCACATGCATATGTCAGATGCGTTCCTTTTTGTGAACGACTTGGGCCTGGAATTCAAATGCTTGTGAAATGTATTTATGGTGGATGCAGACTTTAAAAGTATACAAGCATTTATTTATACTACTAAATAAATAAAAACCACTAGCAGTCGATTGTTATTGCCAACAGTATTATATATATATAATGATTTATACGCAACGATTTATTGTGAAAACGACATAGTGTTTGGACTGTATCGCAATGAGCTACAACAAATTGTGGTTAAGTACATGTGTGTGTAATATGTACATACGTACATGATGCCTGAATCGCGATTCAGTGCATACGTAGCGTGAAAGCTGAAGCACTGCGGCGGGCAGAAATTGCGTTACGTGTGTGACGGAACTCATCGTAATTGCAATATTCTAGTTTAACAAAATGGCTAAAATGGAAGGTCTTTCCCTAGCTGGGATAAAAAAGCATCCGATGGTGAGCAAAATGAGAACCGAAATTGTGCGTATAACACTGACACTATAATTTTTGTCTGTTATCAGCTGCTCCCATTATTCTTCTGCATTGCTGCAGGAGCATGTGGATCGGCATTTTATTTGATACGCCTTGCCGCTCGTAATCCCGATGTTTCGTGGGTGCCAAAGAAAAATCCTGAACCATGGAACGAATTTAAGGACAAGCAATACAAGGTACATTGATCGTACGCTAAAACCAAGAACATGATCGTATCGTCAAGCATGTAAATGCTATTTTTGATTAATGGACTATATATTTTGTATTTTTAGTTCCTCTCTCCTCATTATGGACAAAATCCAAAATCTCCAGCCCCAACATACTAAGCGGATATTATATATTCTAGTATTATTTGTAGCCATTTAAGTCTAAGGTATATTATTTTGTTATGAAACTTGTGTCCAATTTGCATCATTGATAAGTGATCAGCAAGACACGTATAGTTTCAATCTATTTTTATGTACACAGTTAAGTGAAATATAAATAGACAATAAATGGACTTTTGATTCTGCAGCTATCGTGATTTCAGAGCCATTCTAAAACTGTAGTGAAAGGTGTATAGATTATTTTCCAACATTTAAATTGTTTATTAACAGGGAACAATTTAAAGAAAGTCAATATTTTGTAAGTATAAAGGAGGTTATATACGTAATACCAGGTATATAAGTATACTCGAAAGCAGGAAGTAACAATTAGTCGTAGTCACGAATAAGACTGTTATATTGCTTACGAGCGAATAGTTGAGTATGAGTGAGGAAATTGAACTACTAGTAGTCGTGAACCCAGTCGAAACACATACAGATTTTATAGTCGCTCATGAGTTTTGGGAGATATTAATTTAATTTATATTAAAGGAGATATTAATTTATGTTTTATACATTGCCATAACGAAATATTTACGATACTTGTAAAAAATTGAGTCTATTTACTTTTTAATATATTTTTAACTATTTACATGTTAATATATTCCATTGCATCATCTCGTTATTATTCTATTATACATACTGTATGTTATATCTTTATACGGTTTTCTTTACTTATTTGTTCGAAATTTATAGGAGAAAAGGAAAGGTAAATATAAAAACATTAAATTAATTTTTAAGGCTAGTTGTGTACTTATTAATCTTGTCGATCAGTAATCTATCAGACGGTTCACATTGCGCCAATATAAACATTAACGCAGAAACATCTTTTTGTTCAACCGCCGTTTGAACTGCTTCCTCTAACATTCTGTAAGATTACAATCCATTATTATGTTAGATTACAAACTTGTTGCTATTACTATAATACTTACTTCAATTTGACGAGATATTTCACTCTCAGTTCATCTTTCACTTTGGGTAAATACTTCTTTGCTTCCCTGTCTTTATTATATTTTAAACACTCGTCTATAAACGGCTGCAACAAGAAAAGAAACGATGTTATCTCAAGAAATTGCTTGGTTCTAAAAAACTATTGAGAGTTTAAAGATTAGTACCTCGTAACCGATGGGAGACTTTTTACTCTTGGATAATTTCTCCAATTCAGTCCACATACCTTTCTCTGCCAAACATTGTATACGCAACCACCAATACCTGTGGGATTTATGTTAATCGTATGCACATTTGGAAGAATTTGTATGATTTGTATGATCTCACCTTCGATCCGATATCCGATACTCTGACCTTAGTTTGTCCGCTAATTTCAATTCGTTCTGTAACAATAGTATTTTGACGGTATCGTGAAGTGGCTTGCCAACGACCGATTCGTGAAGCATCTCTTCCAGAGACTTTTGATAACGCAACAATTTGACTTGTTCCTCCGTTAAAGCCGCGTTCGTGTCATTACGGGCCAATTTGAAATTTTCCTGCGCGGATTGCAGCAATGATTCTCTGGACATTATGTTCTGTAAAATACACCAACAATATTGTTTGCGACTCGGGCGACAATCGTTGATTAATTTAGAGCAAACCTTTTGTTGATAACTCTCAGTGATAAACCATATGGCTTGAGAATGAAAGTCATCGATCTGATTATAAATGCTTCGAAGGGTCTCTCGGTTGTGACTCTGACAATATTTAATATACAACGCCATCGCCAAAGGACAATGCATTATAGATGTCTGTGAGGAATTCATAAAAAATTGGAATTAAATACGGTGTCCCTATCGATAATAATCCCTTGATAATAAACGGTTCACCTGAAAATCACCGATTGCCATGTTCTCTCTGAGATGAAGTATCACCGTGTAAACTAAATCGGTGTTACCGCTTTCGACAGCTTTACGCAGAGCAGCTCTCTTCTCGCCGAGTGTTAACAAGAGTGGTACTTGCTGGTGCGCACGGGGTTCATAGTCGATTAGCTAACAATAAAGGAAATATAAAGAGCGTTAGGATTACAGAGTCAAATAGCAAGAAAGAAAGAGGGAGAAACAGCGAGTGAAATGTAACAAAAGAAAATGATTACTTTGATAGCTAATTGCTTTCTACCACAGTCGGCTGCTCTTTTCGCAATTTCGCTGTAAGAAACGCCGGGTGCGTATCCCAGTTTGTCGGCTATCTCTTCCGCTATTTGTTCTTTATCTAACTGAGTTTGCTTGACCTGTCAGAAAACAGGAGGAAATTAATTCAGTTCCTCCGAAGGGAATTGAATAGAACCAAAAATTTTAATTACATTACTTTGTAACAGGCCCAGTGGGCTAATATTCGGCTTTCTCCTTCAACTTCCGGCAGTTGGAGATGTCGCGCTATCTGTATACTCAAATAGTAGTGTCTCCTCGCAACGAGTCTGTCCAGTACCACTTGAGTCGTTAGAATGGTAAATCTAAATCGTTGTTAAGTAGTTTTCGTTGTGTAAGTGGCATAATAAAATATAAGGTTAAGGATACTGTATGTACGTTATCGGGATCCCAATCGCAGGGTGTCTCACAGCGTTCAAGACTCTCAGTGTGCGACACATGTCGACATAATGTTGACACAATTCCGGATTAACTGTAGTGCTAAATCCCTTACCGAATTTAGCAGCTCTCATTAAAAGCTTTTGCGTATTAAAGTCAAATTCGTGACCAGCACCATCGATGCAAGCTCTTATCGTTGCATCCAATTTATCTTTAACAAGATCTATGTAACTGTCGGCTTTATGACTCTTCTTTTGAAATTGTTTCGAAGCTTCCAAAAGATAGGACGCAGGATCGGTCGAATTAATCCGAAATATCTTCTGAACTACGTCCGGTACTTTCTGTATCATCTCATGGGATGTTGCAGACAACACGCGCACACCATCGATCTCTGTGATTAGATGTACCGTACTGTCATACGTATATACTATCGTTTCGGCAGTTAATCCTATCACTATTACAGTACTGTCCCAACAGCACACCACAGCTTTCGTACCACACCTGTGAATATCACAATACCGATGTGAATATCGTCGTTGTTGAACGCGAACATTTTACGGTAATATACCAACCATGCCAAGCTCGTTAATGGTTCTTTGGTGTTCGTATTGTGCTCGCAATATTTCTCTTTAAAATCTATCGAACCTATGTACAGGTGTCCTGTATCTGAATAAAGAGCTATATGACGGTTATTTCCAGAAACGCCCATGGCGACTACACTAGAAACTTTGGCATGCCTTGTGAAAATAGTGTCCTGAAAAAACATATGCGTTATCATTGCATCGCCTAGTTTTGTAATTTCAATTTAATTCTCAATTAAAATCTTACAAATGCTATAGATGTTGGACTTTGATGCGTTTGATGGACTACAGTTAGTCCATCCTTGTGGGATAAAATAACTCTGGTTTCTCTATCACGGTGTATCAGACACCAGTAATCCACAGGGCCCCCAAACCCTAAAATATAGACAATCAGACATCAATGATTTGCTTAGTAAAGCAACAATTAACAGAGATTACAAAATCTTACTAGGAACTTCAGATATTTGTCTGACTTTTGGTTCAGCAACATTATTCACTAAAAATACCCGGCTGGTAGATGTTAAAACAGCCACACCGGTTCCACTGTAAGTTTGAAAAAACTTTGCTTCCAAGACTTTAGTGTCTTTAACCTCCTAACATAAGAACATAAAAATATAATTAGATTGTTTCACAGAAATTTCTATTATCGTACAGGAGACATAAAGAAAAATTACGTACATTTCCCATAGTAAACGCGTGTTGGAATGTACCAAACATGTCATATATGTGAACCATACCATCCTCTTGCACACACAATAGTTCCTCCTGCTGAGACCACCCCAAACCGACCAATAGTCCACTACTCCACTGAAAAGCACAAAGATATATGATTCCCAGTCGTTAAAGTTTTACCACAGATTCTCGACATTTACTTGTAATTTGGCCGTTAACTTTCCTGCTGAAGTAAACAAATATATCACAGTTTTATTGGATCCATGAACTTTAGCAAATTTCTTGGGATTTCCGGTTATCGCGATCGAACCTCCATAAGGAGCTGCCACCACTAAATTGGTATTCCAAACCTCATTGTGAAACGATAACGGGTAGAGTTCGAACTTTCTGAAAAGCAATAGTTTCTTAACGATTATACTCTGCATTTTCCACTTGTCATCTTATCGAAGAGCTATTTGTTTGTATCTGTTGGGCGTTAATCTATAACCTTATTCCCATTTGTTACCTAAAATATACGTCTCGTCCCAGAGGGAACCAATCTGCGGTTAACATCGCCAGCATGTTTGAAGGAAAAGAGCTGCTGAATTTCAACGATGTCGATCTCCATATACGATCATAGTTCGATCAGCGAATTATCGTGTTCTCTTATTTATTCGAATTATCTGTCACTCTTTACTTGTCACGATATCGCAATTGCTTCTTCTCCTTGGTTAGAGATTTATGCGCATGATCGATGAAATGAACACAGGTCGACCACGTTTGTTTACGGTTGCTCATTCTGTTCACAGTCGCTGCAGTACCGTTCCAGCAAGCAGATCGCAGCTGTTTGACCGACCGTCGCCAATAAGGAAGGGGCCGCTCCGATGATCGTCGGTAAGGCAGTCGTCGCCTAGTGCCCTCAAGGTTCCTATAAAGTGTTGTACGTACTCTTGTGTCACGTCCGTGGCACGAATGCATCGGAGATCGGAGCGTATGCATAACTTATAATACGTAGGTACATAGGTAGGTAGGTATGAACGCAATTCGCAAATACATTTGTTCACTGTTACAGGATGCATCGTCTCCTCCAAAACGGATCGAGCAGCGCACTGTATGGTGGTTGGTTGAATGTAGGTAGAGTCGCGCGGGAACCCCGTTATGCCTGAGTCCGAGTCCGAGTTCGAGTTCGAATTGGCGAATCTGTGGAGAAGGGCACGGCACAAGTTGGTCTCGCGGAGATCCCCTTCTCTCGCATCCATTACGATATTCCATTGCTCGCGGTAACGGCTGCTCGAACTCTTTCAGTTTCCGAAGAGGCGCGTCGGGTTCTTTTCGCACCTTCAGGACCATTGATCGCGAACAAGATCGACGTCGGTCGACCAAAATCGAACGCCGCGCGACGTTCGTGTAGAGTGCCAGCCGCGTTGTCCTTTATTCTCCGCGGCTGCGGATCGAAGATAAAATAGAATAGAAGATAAGAGAAAGGAGAGAAAGGAAAGAAGAAGGCGAGTCGAGGCGAGGCAAAAGCGATGGCAAAGGCAAGGTAAGCTGAAGTGGAGGCAAACGAGCACGTAATCGCGCGTTCCCAGGCGCTTTTCGCCACAACCCACAACGCAAAGTTTCTTCCCAAGCGACGGATCAACTGGAACCGTTGTCGAGGGAAAACAACGGAACCATGAAGAGAATTTCTGGCAGAATCTCCGGTTGAGTCGCTTCTGAATCGGCAACGAGGTCGATCGGTGGTCATCGAATAATCCGGTTCACGAGTGACAGCTAATAGAATCGTGTGGATCCGGATACCGATGTGGATACAGATGCGGATGCGGACAGGGACACCGATGCAGATGGGATGGAACTTTTGTGCGGACCGAGAAATATGATCGTAGTGTAAGTTACCGATGGCCATGAGAAATAGAATCGAGAGGAATCTCGCGTATGAAATTCGAATAGCATCTTTCTNTTCGATCAGCGAATTATCGTGTTCTCTTATTTATTCGAATTATCTGTCACTCTTTACTTGTCACGATATCGCAATTGCTTCTTCTCCTTGGTTAGAGATTTATGCGCATGATCGATGAAATGAACACAGGTCGACCACGTTTGTTTACGGTTGCTCATTCTGTTCACAGTCGCTGCAGTACCGTTCCAGCAAGCAGATCGCAGCTGTTTGACCGACCGTCGCCAATAAGGAAGGGGCCGCTCCGATGATCGTCGGTAAGGCAGTCGTCGCCTAGTGCCCTCAAGGTTCCTATAAAGTGTTGTACGTACTCTTGTGTCACGTCCGTGGCACGAATGCATCGGAGATCGGAGCGTATGCATAACTTATAATACGTAGGTACATAGGTAGGTAGGTATGAACGCAATTCGCAAATACATTTGTTCACTGTTACAGGATGCATCGTCTCCTCCAAAACGGATCGAGCAGCGCACTGTATGGTGGTTGGTTGAATGTAGGTAGAGTCGCGCGGGAACCCCGTTATGCCTGAGTCCGAGTCCGAGTTCGAGTTCGAATTGGCGAATCTGTGGAGAAGGGCACGGCACAAGTTGGTCTCGCGGAGATCCCCTTCTCTCGCATCCATTACGATATTCCATTGCTCGCGGTAACGGCTGCTCGAACTCTTTCAGTTTCCGAAGAGGCGCGTCGGGTTCTTTTCGCACCTTCAGGACCATTGATCGCGAACAAGATCGACGTCGGTCGACCAAAATCGAACGCCGCGCGACGTTCGTGTAGAGTGCCAGCCGCGTTGTCCTTTATTCTCCGCGGCTGCGGATCGAAGATAAAATAGAATAGAAGATAAGAGAAAGGAGAGAAAGGAAAGAAGAAGGCGAGTCGAGGCGAGGCAAAAGCGATGGCAAAGGCAAGGTAAGCTGAAGTGGAGGCAAACGAGCACGTAATCGCGCGTTCCCAGGCGCTTTTCGCCACAACCCACAACGCAAAGTTTCTTCCCAAGCGACGGATCAACTGGAACCGTTGTCGAGGGAAAACAACGGAACCATGAAGAGAATTTCTGGCAGAATCTCCGGTTGAGTCGCTTCTGAATCGGCAACGAGGTCGATCGGTGGTCATCGAATAATCCGGTTCACGAGTGACAGCTAATAGAATCGTGTGGATCCGGATACCGATGTGGATACAGATGCGGATGCGGACAGGGACACCGATGCAGATGGGATGGAACTTTTGTGCGGACCGAGAAATATGATCGTAGTGTAAGTTACCGATGGCCATGAGAAATAGAATCGAGAGGAATCTCGCGTATGAAATTCGAATAGCATCTTTCTTCTCACTCTCTCTCTCTCTCTCTCTCTCTCTCTCTCTCTCTCTCTCTTTTCTTATTTTCTCTATAAGTAATCGGTCCATCGCGTAAGCCCGAATCGAAACTCGCAACGCGCGAGTAAAACTAAATACGAGATCAAGCGCTCGGAAGAGAGCGGTCGCGCGTCTTCGATAAATCCCGTTCCCTCCGAGAAAAAGAAAGGAACGCGGTCGTTTAAGCATTTGCGTGAAACAGGTTTCACCGTGTGTATCCGCTGATACGTCGGACGAAACCACCGTTACACGCAGACAGCCTCGTGTGTCCAAGATCGAGCGCGCGAGCCTTTCTTCGCGTCGTGTCGCGTCGCGTCGTGTCACGCAATGCCACGCAATGCCACGCCATGTATCGGTCGGCCGAGAACAGCGGGGAAATAAGGCGAGATGGAGTTTATGCGACGGTTGATCGACACGGACATTGTGATTTTCAGATTGTACGCGATTCTGGTGCTGGCGGGCCCGGTTCTCGCGCAACCGATCGAATGGATGCCGTGCGTCGAGCTCAAACGGGACCTTCAGATTCCCTGCGAATGCTCAATCTTCACGGAATCGGCCGGTCGATCGATCGAGGCGAACTGCGATGGGGCGGTGTTTACGCGGGATACGGTCGAGAGCTTGCGGGGACAACCGATTCTCTCGATCGGTCAGCGAAACGCTGGATATCAAACACTTCCGGAGAACTTGCTCGGGTCGGGTCTACGGCTGAAGAAGCTCGATCTATCCAGCAACTCGATTCGCAAGCTCATGAACCGAGTCCTCGAAGCGCAGCCTTACCTAGAGGAACTCAAGCTGGCCGATAATCTGTTGGGCGACGGTCTGAACCCGATATTCTCGAGCAACGAGTTTCACGGGCTGACGCGGCTGAAGCTGCTCGATCTCAGCGGGAACGGGTTGAGAAGCATCGAGGAAGGAATGTTCAAGGGATGCGAGAGCCTCGAGCAACTTTACTTGGACAGGAACGAGATGACGATGGTGCCGACGGCGTCCTTGAAGGGGCCGGATTCCATCAGAGTGCTCTCGTTGAGCGGCAACGTTATCGGTGTGTGCATCGCGTTGCTAATCCTAATCCCTGATAAATAACGCGTATCGGTAACCACGTACACATGTGACTTTTGTTCCCAGGTTCGCTTCCACGAGACGCGTTCTCGCCGATTGGCGCGTCGTTGCTGCGCCTGGATCTGAGCAACAACGAGCTGTCCCACATAGAAGACGGCGCTCTTTCCGGACTCGAGAGTTTGCTCCTCCTCAATCTATCTCACAACGATCTTGGCCGTTTCAACAGCGACGCGTTCGAGGGTACGCAACAGGAAACGCGATACAACGAAATGCGAAAATCGAAACGGAGGAGATAAATTCTAAGTTCTTTGTTGATTTTCAGGGGCTCACAATCTGCTGCAGTTGGATCTTTCGGTGAATTTTTTGCAAGAATTTCCCAGCGAGGCGATCAGGCTCCTAACGGATCTCAGGTTTCTCAATGTTTCCAACAATATGATCACTGTAAGTAGCGATCGGCATCGGCTTCCGTAACACGTGAAGCTAAATCGTACAATCGTTATCCGTTATTCGCGTTCCAGAGCATAGACAGGACTCATTTGTCGGGGCTGGGGGAGCTGCAAGTGTTGGATCTCAGTCGGAACAACATTGGCCGACTCGGCGTGAACGCGTTTTCCAGCTTAATCGGCCTAACCAGGCTCGACTTGAGCCTAAACGCGTTGCGCACGGTACGTAAAGGCTTAAGATTCACGAACGAAAACGGCAGTGAACGGCCATGGAAACGTTTTCAGATCGAGGAATCGTCGTTCGAGGGGTTGCTGAAACTGAAATGGCTGTCCCTACAAGACAACAACATTCTGTTGATGCCGGCCGCCGCTCTCAGCAGACTACCGTCTCTCAGGCATCTTCACGTGGAATTCAATCGCATCGCCGCGCTGTCGACCGAACTGATCAAAGCGACGGCCGCCGGTCTGACCACGCTGGCGCTGACGCGAAACTTGGTGCGCGAGATACCGGCCGACTCGTTTCGCGAGTTCGACAACCTGGCCGACGTGCGTCTGTCGGGAAACTTGCTGTCGACGATCTCGTCGAGCACGTTCGCCGGTTTGGAGAACACATTGGAGAGGTTGGACGTTTCGCGGAACAGGCTCGCGGCCATCGGCGAATTCCATTTGGAAAATCTGCTCTCGCTGAATCTAGCTGGCAACCAGCTGACTAAAATCCCACCGGAAACGTTCGCGCGGCTCCACAGATTAGAGTACTTGAACTTGAGCTCGAATCCTCTCTACGGAGGCTTCCCGCCGGTGTTTCCCTCCTCGGTCGCGAACCTGGACGTGTCGCGAACCGACCTAAAGATCTTGCCGAGCATTCTGTTGTCGAATCTCGCGTCCCTCGAAAGGATCGCGATGGCCGGCAATAGTCTGGAGAGGATCGAGGCTGGAACTTTTCGACAGCATCGGAACTTGTCGAGGATCGATTTGTCGGAGAATCGGATAGACCGTATAGAGGACGCGGCGTTCGCCGGATTGTCGAGTCTGCGCGAACTGGATCTCCGGGGGAACCGGCTCACTCTGTTCACCGGGGAATATTTCGACACCGGGACCGGATTGGCTATCCTCGATTTGTCCGACAATCGAATCGATCGCTTATCCCCGACGGCGTTCGCGATCCATCCGAGATTGAGGCAGCTCGATCTCTCCGGGAATCGACTGGCCCAGTTCCCTGGCGAGTACGCGAGACCCCTGCAGTTCCTGCAGAAGCTCGACCTCTCCGAGAACAGGTTGCAACGTGTTCCGGAGTTCGCGTTCTCCCGGATCCCGCGTCTCCGCGTCCTCGACCTCGCCGAGAACGAGATCGAGTCGGTCGACGAGCTGGCCTTCCACAATTCGACTCAGCTTCAGCTGATCGATCTCTCCGGCAACAGAATCGAAACGCTCGACGACAGAACGATGGAAGGCCTGCTGCGACTCGAGCATCTCGCTCTCGGCGAGAACAGATTGACATCTCTGCCGGAAACGATCTTCGATCCAAGCCGCGTCGGAGCAGTCGAGAGCATCGATCTGTCTGGCAACCGGTTCGCGGAAATCCCGGCGGACAGCCTGCAGAAGCAATCGGTGTTCTTGTCGCGGCTGAACCTCGCTCGAAATCGCATGGTCGAGGTGTTCGGCCGCGACATCCCCGGGAACCTGAAGGATCTCGATCTGTCCGGAAATCCGCTCAGCGAGAACGCCATCGACGGGATCCTCGGCGAGGCGAAGATCCTCCGCAGCTTGAATCTGGCCGATACCGGGATCACGCGGCTCGTCAGGCTCGAGACACCGTTCCTCAGGCGGCTGAATCTCTCCGGGAACGCCATCGCCGCGCTGGAAGTCGCCGCGCTCGAGCGCACCACCATGCTCGAGACCTTGGATCTGTCACGGAACAGGCTGACGGAGTTCTCCGGTTTCCCAGCGATGTTCCGCAAGCTCCCGGCCATCCGGCGGCTCGACCTGTCGGGCAACCACGCGAGGACCGTCAACGAGACCAGCTTCGATGGACTGGCCGGGCTCCGCGTCCTCGACGTCTCCGACCTGTCGAACTGCACCCGAATCGAGAGGACCGCTTTCAAACCGCTGGCCAAGCTCCGCTCCCTGTCCGCCTACAACTACCCGAAGCTGGGCTACTTCGACGTGCAGGGCGTTCTGAAGGGGATGCGAAACCTGGAGTCGCTGGACATCGAGATCAAGGACTCCTCGGTGGGCAACGAGCAGCTCTCGGTGGCCAGCCATCCCCGTCTACGAGAGCTGACTTTGAGAGGCGAGAGGCTGCGACACGTGTTATCCAGTTCGTTGGCCGGCGTGCGAGCGACCAGGTTGTCCGTCGGTCTGAAGAACACGTCCGTGGACTCGATCCCGGCCGCCCTCTTCTTCCCGGTGCCTCGGTCCACCGAGCTCAGGCTCGACCTCTCCGGCAGCAAATTCAGCACCGTGTCCGCCCATGTCCTAACCGCGCTGGACGAACGAGCCGGCGCCGTCGATCTCCGAGGCCTCGAGAGCAATCCGATCAACTGCAGCTGCGACTCCAGACACCTCCGCCGATGGTTGAGGTCGAGCGAGCGCGATCGCCGCGTCGGCTCCGTGCGCTGTGTTACCCCGCCTCGGTTGGCCGGACAAATCCTTGCGGCTCTCGACGAGCGACGTCTCGCGTGCGACGGCGAGCCGGCCGATCGGTTCGCGCACGGCGAGAACCCGTCCGCGAACGGCTCGAATTCCAATTCCGTTTCCAATCCCAACAACGACCGTCTGGACGGCGGCGATCCAAACGGCGACCTCGACAGCGAGCCCGAGAACCATTGGACCGGCCAACTCGCGGACACCACATCCTCGTCCGGCTTCCCGTCGAGGAGGCCCTCGTCGGTCACCGAGCCAGAGATCATATGGACGGTCGCGCCTACTGTTCGAAACGAGCGAACCAAGCATCACGATCGAGACCGCGTGTTCGAGACCGGCATGGTGGGAAACGGTTCGGGTACCGACGACACTTTGATCATCGGTATTGTCGTCGGAGTGGTCGCGCTCATAGCCATCATAGTGATCGTGGTTTGTATCTGTCGGTTGAGGTGGTCCAGCCGCATGGACGAGGCCAGGATGACCGCGGCCAGCATCCAGGATGCCTCGATGATCAGACCGTGTAGCGTTTATTCCGGCAAAATCAACCACGACCTCTATGTGGGATCGTACAACGGGTCCACGCTGGACCGCGGCAACGGCGTGCCGCCGCTACCGCCCTCTATCTCGACTCCGCCGATCCAAATGATGCCGTTCGTGCAGCCGATGCACCTGATGCATACTCTTTTAACACCGACCCCGCAATCGCAGTCGCAGTCGCAGCTGCAATTGCAGTCGCAGACGCAGCCGCAAACGCAGCCGCAATCGGGATTGCCGCAGTCACGGTCCCAACAGTTTTACGGTTACTGCGACGGTGCTGCGTTGCCCCTTTACGTTGCCTGTCCCACGGACGCCAACTGCGACAGGTAACTGTCGTCCGCGTGCGCGACTAACGTTAAGCTCGTTCGTAAAATACCTCCGTCGAAGAATCCGCTTGTTATTTAACTTGGCGACTCGCGAGCGTTCTACACACACATACATGTATCTTCTTCCCCTTTAAGCGTCACGTCTTTCTCGCGTTAACTGTCGTGCCTTTTCTACGTCGTATAACGTAGTGTCCAGCGTGCTCTACGTCGTCTCTAAGATTCCGACCGCATCGAGGATCATCTTCGGAATTTCGAAGGTTCGAACGAACTGCGGTGGAACCGAACAAACGTGCTCACATTCCATGTACATATAGCTATATATATATATATTCTGTAATTGCAAACCGTAGTTTTCTAAAGCATACGATTTGTGCTAACATTTTCTTACTCATCTTTTCACAATTATCTACAAATGATTCGCGCATTTGTTACACGTAGGCGTGAATCGTTTTTCACTGCCTCATCGTTATATAAGTGTAAATCTGTATTCTCCCTAATTGGCGGCTTTGATTTTGTACGCGATAATGGACAATTTGCGACGAGGTGATACGATTATTCGGTAACAATCGCTAACTATAAAAACGTACGATCGTATCTTCTCTTTATAAATTGTTCATTTTTGTGTACAAGCTGCGCGTCGATTAGGGAGAATTTACTGTACCGGTTAAAATCATTTGTAGTATGAGATATTATTATTTAAGGATAAATAAAGTATGCTATGGGCATAGAATCGTTCAGGGAAGTATCGTATGTTACATTCAGATTTTTATTGTTGTATTTATACTTCGTTGTACGTAGTAGTTCGGTGAATCGAGCGCGAGCATCGACCTTCTAAGGTGTATCGACCTTTACCGTGTACTGCATTACATTATATTATTGCAGTACGTATTACGTAGGTCCATGGTAAATAATTAATATTTAATTTTTGAGGCGTAGTACATGCACTTTTATGATTCAAGAATCTAGATTGAAGTCTTAGCTGCAGTTCTGATATAGTTTTGTACATATTTAAATTCTAATTAGTTAGTTATTAACGATTTTTCGTGGGCGTATTTGTTCTATACCGTCTAATGTGTAAGAGAAGGATAGTCGAGTGTGCGACAAGGATAGCGATAGACTTGTAGGTACGCCCGTATAAGCGGCACTCAGCGCCACCTACATTCTAGTAACTAACGTTGCTACGCAAACCAACAGATTCTAAAAACAGTCTAATATCAACCTCCCAAGAGTATAGACATACACACAGTTTAAAGACGTATGCATAAAGTTAAATAAAAACACGTTACAAGTTAGGCTAAATTAACTGTTTCCTTTATTACCGAAACGCCATCGTTCCCAGTTCTTAGAGAATCCAGTTTAAGAGAACCTAATACCAAGCAAACCGCCACAGACTAGGTACTGGTGGCGCCATCCACGACAAAATGCTGAAACTGTTAGCCAAATGTTTGGCTACCAGTTTCAGCATTCTGTCACGGGCGGCGCCACTAGTATACGGCAAGTAGTTTCAGCGTTCTGCCACGGATGGCGCCACGAGTTCTCGACGAGTAGTTTCAGCTTTCTGCCGCGAATGGCGCCACAGGTTCTCGGTGAGTAGTTTCAGCTTTCTGCCATGGATGGCGCCACAAGTTCTTGGTAAGTAGTTTCAACGTTTGGCCACGGATGGCGTCACAAGTACACGGCGAGTAGTTTCAGCGTTTTGCCACAGATGACGCTACAAGTTGTCGGCTAGTAGTTTCAGCTTTTTGCCGCTGATTCCAATTTGGTACGCAATGATTACTCGACATGTACTGCATAGAAAGAGGGCCATAACGAATACCGGCTTCGTTCTGACTCCCTTTCATTATTATAAAATGATTGTAAAATAGAACAAGAACTGTAATGTTTGAAAATAAAAGTACTGTAAAACTCAATCCAAACGTTTTTTCATTTTAGGTAGTTTTATTTTGTTCCTCACCCTCTGGCTCATTCTTCTTCATTTGTCCACCGTTTCCCCTGTTCTTTCACACAATCAACGTCCCCTTCTTCTCTCACCTTTCTCCCTTACTCCCTTTCTTTTCTTCATCTAGTTTCACCATCTAATTGCTCTCTACCATACTCATTTACTATGTTCTTAATCTTTTCTCAAATTCCTTCCTCCATTCCTTTCTCCTCCTGTATCACTGTAACATGTGTTCTCACATTTGTGTTTCTTCTCCTCCACATCAGCATCCGCTTTCTTCCTTGTTCTCTCTATACTTTGCAGTTTCACACCACCTCGCTTCTTCCTCATCCCTTTTCAAATATTCTAGAACCCTTCCTACTCTTACCTCTCTGTACCAATTGTATTCTATAATTTTCCCCTCTTTTCATTCCTCTTTCATTCCTCCAACTTTCTTCTACTCTCCCTCTCTCTCTCACACTTTCTCTCTCTCTCTCTCTCTCTCACTATCTCTCCCTCTTGCACTCTCTCACTATCTCTCTTACACTTTCTCTCTCTCTCTCTCTCTTTCTCACTATCTCTCCCTCTTGCACTCTCTCACTATCTCTCTTACACTTTCTCTCTCTCTCTCTCTCTCTCTCTCACTATTACCCTCTCTCTTTTTTCTCGCCCTTCTTTAAAATCGCTCAATCATTCACGTACTTCGTTCTCTTCCTCTCTCATCTTGATAGCTTCGACTACCTTTTCATTGACATAAACTACTTGCTAATTGTATCAGGAGTACACACGAGAATTTCTTTGTCTGGCTTGTGATTGACATGTACTACTGAAATTTGGAACTTTTCGAAAATTATTCGGGAAAAGTAGTACAAGTCAACGTCAGGCCAGACATTCGAAAGAATACCTCCTCGCATATCATATTCTCCTGATACAATTTTCGAAATTTTAGTATCAGGAGCACATGATGTGTGAGGAGGTATTCTTTTCAAATGTCTGGTCTGACATTGACTCGTTCTACTTTTTCCGAAAAATTTTCGAAAAGGTCCAAATTTTCGAAATTTCAGTAGTACAAGTCAATAACAGGCCAGACAAAAATTTCGAAAACTAGAAAATTTCCCCAATTTCAGTGGTACAAGTCAATAACAAGCCAGGCAATGAATTTTAGGATACCTACTCGAGAAATATGTGCTCCTGATACTCGAAATTTCAGTAGCACAAGTCAATCACAAGCCAGACAAAGAACTTCGAGAATAACTGCTCGTGTTCTCCTGATACAATTAGCAAGCAGTTTAAGTTAATGGGAAGTCATGCGTTAAACATATCCACGAATCATTAGGAACAGAAATGGGAGTGGGAATGAGAATGGAGATAGGAATAGATATGGCAATGAGAATAGATATAAGAATGGGAATAGAAATGGGAATAGGAATAGAAATGAGAATGGGAATAGAAATGAGAATGGGAATGGGAATAGAAATGGGAATAGGAATAGAAATGAGAATGGGAATAGAAATGAGAATGGGAATGGGAATAGAAATGGGAATAGGAATAGAAATGAGAATGGGAATGGGAATAGCGCCAAGAAATAAATTGGACTCAAGAATAGTTTATTAAATACTTTTATTTCATATGACTTAAAATTATTACATCGTAGCTATTGTATATAGTAATGATCGTAACCATAGTAGTATCATAATTATACTGGAAATGCTGAGTGGTGAAAATGGAGTACAGATAGGCGGCTTCACCGTCAAATATCCAATTTCGTGTCACCGACGTTGTTTCATCATACCGTGCGAAACAGCATATGTCTTTTGATAGCTAGAAATCAGCCGACGGTGACTTATTAATATTCCTCTCCGTCTTCGGTGTTGGCAGCATCTTCCTGCACTTCGCCATAATCTAATTCCAATTCCTATGTGTTTGTAGCGTTCCTCTGATTCTACTTTTCCTAAATGGTTCTTCTGAGGGGATCCGTGTACAGAATTAATTGCAGGAATAGCGATTGCGTAACAATAACTGATTTCCAAGCTCCTTAAAGATGCACCTGTGCTGTGTAAACCTCGACTACCGTTCTACGCAGCTCGCGTCGCGTTTTCCAGCGCGGAGTTTGCGCGCATCTAGTAATCGCGAGTCCCGTCCCGAGTCCGTACACTCGAACATTTACCGGCCTTTCGAGCATCGCAAGACATTTCTAGACATGGCGTAGGCTTGTTCACGCGGAACCGGAAGTGCTTGCGCGAGAGTCCAGCCGCTTCCTCGGTGAAAGTGTCAGAAACTCGAGGCTTTCGCGATGGAACCTCTCAAATGTGAACGTGTGGGAAGAGCAAAATCGGTCGCGACACATCTGGGACACTCCTCTTTCCACGATCGATGTGCTCTCATCGACGACCGAGAAACAACTGATTCCGTTGAGACTATCGGCGCCGGTTGATCGTTGAACGGAGGATGGACGGAGATTGTCGGATGCGTGGCAACCAGCCAAATGACCTAGAAAACCCTGCCGCTAGCACCGGCTCTCCGAGTACGTATCCAGGAGAACAGTGTCCTCCGACAGCGAGACCTGCAACGAAATTCGTGGCGTTTATGCTCGTGAAAACGTGTCCGCGGGTATCGTCGTCGTTCATGGAACATTAACATTATCCGAACCGGAACGTGCAAGCAACAGCTCGTTAATTACGCGTTCGCAACGCGTGTCGACTTACCATGAAACCGAGAGAGCAACGATGTTATCGCGCGGCCGGTGAAGCTGAAACAGTGCGAGACAAGTAGATGGGAATCGTCCTCGCTCGCACCATAGAGATCCAGCGGTCGATTCTGTCGCCGTAGAGACAGAGGCAACGACGTCAACGTAAACACACACTCGCCGATTCGGGTCTCGGCTTGTCCAGAAGTCGACCTTCGGCAGTGCCTACCAGGAGCAAGCAGGACGCAGCGATTCGGTGGATCAACCGACGAAGGTAGGACTCATCTTGCCGGGCAGGCAAACTTTCAAAGACGCGTGCGAGTGCGTGTGCGCGCGTAACTTGTCATCGGGAAGAAGCGTGTCGGCGTGCGTCCATTGTTTGGCCGGCGGTGTAACATGCTGCAAACAAGGAGAGATTTATCGTCGTGGTTCTCACCGTGAGCCGACGGGTAAAATCTGTAATCGCTAGACAGCGGATGCAACGAATTGTATTTACAAATCGCTGCTGCCGACGTCGTTGAGAATCGCGTCGTTAGGTGCTCGGTCTAGCGGTTACGAAGGCGAATCGACCACGACTTACCTCGAAGCAAGTGTTTATCTCGATTGCTTATCTCGGCGCTATCTGTACGGTGTCGTTTACGGTGCAATTTGCTGGGTGTGCGAGAGAGCCGTTTACGAATCGCCTCGATCGTGGCCGATCAAATTATGGCTTCTTCGTTATCTGAGACAGAAAAAAATCCGAGATTAGAAGAACGAAATTTCTGGCTCGTTCTAGGTTCACCGGTGTCCTCCTGGATCGTCCTCGGACCGTCGTCGCGGAGGAAGAGAGGCACCGGCGCCGCGACGTATCGACCGTGAATGGAGTCGAGGGTGGAGGACGACGAGGACGGCGAGGGCGAGGGTGGGGGCGCAGACGCCGTTCCGCCGGTGAAAACCAGGCCAACGCTGCGCGACATCGCCCGCCTCTGTGTCAACACGTTCAGAGCCTTCTATGCCGGGAACCTGGTCGCCGCAGTTGCGCTACAACAGTCGAAGCCCGCCGCCGCTGCCGCCGCCCGTACAGGGACAGAGGTCCCGGTCGCTCCGGACATGGGCAACCTGCAGAGCGACGCCAAGAAGAAGACCAAGAAGGGTGGCAGGACCGCCGAAGGGACGGCCAGCGTCCATGGCTCCGTCGACGGCCTCGGGGACACCACCGACACGGGGGACGACGGCGAGACCGAGGACGCTGAGGAGACGCCCGTCAGAAAAGCAGCTCCGGCCAAACCGGAAGAGAGCCTTCAGAACATCCAGAAGTTCGAGAAGTTCGAGAAACCGAGGGCTCCTTATCATGGCAAGCGGCAGGCTCCCAAGCCACCTGGATCCGCCGTGAGAAAGGTCAGGGTTCGCTTTTGCTTCTCGAACTCTGCTCCCGGTATATTACAATTTAAAATTCACCTGGACACGGTTTATGGAACGCGTGCCGCGCGGATCTCGGTTCTATCCAAGTATTTTTCTCCGCAACGTAACGAACGCTCTCCCCGATCCTTGCACAATGAATCGCCCATTTTCTGACACCTTCGTTCAACGCTGGGAACGAACAACCGAGCATCGGTTTAAACGAAATGGTCTGCGATCGTTCGCTTCGCAATTTCTACGATCCCGCAATAATGTTTTTATGAGAGGTTGTCGGATCGAGTTCTTTAGTCGAGCTTACATTATCGTAGAAATCGTACAAAGTTTTAAGACGATAGAAGAGCCAGGGTTAACCCCGTCCCGCCGGCATGCAACGTTCAGTCGAATTCGCGACGGGAATTGCAAAATGATCCGAAGTCGAAGTGGAACGTAACGCGCGCGGCCGTTGCATATTTCGCGCAACCATTTCCGCGGGGCGCGTATGGGGGTCAATAGGTCACGGGAGGCTGCCGAGATTAAAGGCGACCGATCGGGAATAACCGAAAGGAACGCGACGAATCGGTTCGCTCGAAAATATCCGAGCAATTTGTACAATGATTTCGCGTCGTCGCGTTTCTTCGCAACGTGACCTATCGCTTTCGGATCTCGCACGCGTGTCGTATCGCCCATTGAAAGAAAGACCGATTCGCGGCCGTTTCACATTCTACCGGTGGACTTGTCGATTCGAACAGGTCGCGCCCGAGATTCCTGACAAGTCGATCGAGATCCAGCGGGAGCTGGTGAACGGGGAAGACGAGCACCGGGGATCGGTGGGCAAGGTCGATGCGACGGAGGCCGACCTGACGAACAGCCTGTTGGTGCCGGTGTCTTTGCCGGGTCAGAGACAGGGGCCGGTGGTTCTGGTGACCGATTCCTGGCGGTTGGCTAATAAGGCGGTGATCGTGTCGGAGATCTCGGCACCGCCTAGCCAGGAATCGTCGAGCGACAGCGTGTTCACCGATCCAGACGAGCAGGAAGCTAAGCAGGAGCCGACGGACGTGTCCGCGCCGCCGACGATCGATTCCGACGTCTTCCAGAAGAACCAGAAAAACCAGAAGAGCGAACCGAGCCCGCTTCCTCCGCAAGCCGGTGAGTCGGTCGTCGTAGGCGGTCTACGAGATCGCGGTAATTATCTATAAAAAAGCGACGCTGCTCGTGGCGCGGAAAAAGTATAACGCGGCGATACGGCGCAAGAGTAAACGAGCGACGATAAACAGTGATTAGCGCGACGTCGATAAGAGGGGCGATAAGAGGAGGCGTGACCCACCACGTGTCACGGTCGTGGATCTTCGTTGCAATCGCGATCCGTCGTTTCGAGAAGCTGCACAGCTCCGCGGCTGGACCACGTTCGGTCGCGAAAACAGACGTCAGAGACAATCGGGTTATCGATCTTCGGCGAGGCAATGATCCATCGTTCGAGCGGCGACGTGACAGTGTCACCACCGGTCAGCGATTCGCAGCTGTCTCTCCGTGCTCGGAGGTTAACGCGTCGGTCGTTGTGTCCGCCGCCGTTGATCCCGACGAATCCGATTATTAATAGCGCATTGTTTCGATCGCGTCGGCCGTCGAACGTCGACAGCGAGCGGGTGCCGAGATGAGTTCCGCGGAGACTCGTGGCGCAGGGTCACGGTGGCTGGATAATTTAGCAGCAGGTACGATAAGAGCGCAGGTACGTGGCCGCTTGGGATGAATGCATCGCGCCGGATGCGGTCGTTAAATATTCACGCGGGTTTGCTCAAAGATAATGCTCGTGGTACGCGGGGCAAGGCAGGGTGGTCTGAAAGAGGGCTCGCTCGTCTTTCAGAGAGGCGGATCGTTGACACGCTGATCTCGGTGTTGCCGGAGCAGCTCAAGTCCAGGCTGACGGTGGAGGAGATCGAGCAGTTCGCGACCAGGTTGTGCTCCAGGCTGCACGCGGACGGGCTTCTCGGGTCGATCTCCTTCGACGAGCGAACACCGAGCAAGGAGATCAGCGTCGTAAGCTCGACGGAACTCTGATCGTTGTATTATCGGAACCGACCGGCGATCATCTGTCGGATGATTTCAGGAGGACGTGGAGGCGAGCGACCGCAGCGATTCGGAGAAGGAGAATCTAAGGCGAGAGGTCGAGCGGCTCCGGGAGCTAACTAGGAACGTGGACGGGTCATCGGCGCAGGGCAAGTCGACGCAGACATCCCCTCTGACTGTGCAGCCGGAGCAATGGGGCTTGGACAGGCCAAGAAGCTCCGAAGACGCGACGTCGGAGAGGTCGACCGTCCAGGAGTCGATTCCCGAGGAGCCGATCGCGAACGGCCTCGACGGCCTAAAAACTGCGAAGCACGAGCCGCCGAGAAAACAGTCCTCCATGTCTTCCGCGACTTCGCCACTGCCACGGTCTCCCCCCGCCCATTCTAGCGTTGCCCCTCCGCCGCCGCCGCCGCCACCTCCGCCACCTTCGCCCTGCCTCGATCGTCCCGTTAGCGTCCCGGCGCCTCATCCTGCTGTCCCCACGTTCTCCATTCCACCCCCGCCTCCGCTGCCCCCGTGTCCACACGCGGCCCAGTCGATTCCCTCGCAGAGCCTAACGTCGTTGACCGGAATTCCTCCGCCTCCGCCACCGCCTCCGCCAACTCCCATGCCGCCGCCTTTGCAGCCTATGAGCAGGGAGACACCCGGGTCTCCGCCTGTCCCGCCACCACCACCGCCGCCGCCGTCTCCCGCGCCAACGATCGGTTTGATCTCTTCCGTTCTTCCTCCGCCACCGCCGCCTCCGACGCCAATGTCTGGCTCCATTCCTCCTCCGCCTTTCCCGCCCTTACCCTCGCTGTCCGCGTCCCTCGTAGACAGATTCTCGCGTTCCTCGATACCTCCTCCACCTCCTCCCCCGCCTCCGCCTCCAGCTCCCTCGTTGCCCGGCATGGGAGCAGGGATTCCACCGCCGCCGCCGCCACCGCCGTGCACTCCTCTGAACGGAGGAATCCCGCCACCGCCGCCACCACCGCCTCCCATCGGAGGCATCCTCGGGGGACCTCCGCCGCCTCCTCCGCCACCTGGCATGATGCCAGGACCACCGCCTCCGCCGGGCATGGGACCGTTGGGAGCACCCCGACCACCTCCGCCTCCGGGAACCATGGGGGGAGCTCCAGGACCTTGTCCTCTACCGGCTCCGCCGATCGGTGGGTGGAATCCGGCGGGCAGAGCGTGTGAGTATCAGGACGCAGAGCGTCTCGTGGCCCGTGAAAGGGAGACATCGCGATGATCAGTGCGCTCTTACTCGTTTAGGCATGAGAAAAGAACCCATGTGCCCCGAGGTGCCCATGAAGCCGCTCTATTGGACGAGGATCCTGGTGCCAGAGGCTCAGACAAAGCTTGGTTCCGTCGAAGCTTCGGACGGCCCCGCTCAAGTGAGTTCTTCCCACGTTCTTCAGAACCTATGGTTTGAGTCTAGAATTAGTCGGTTGTATCTGGAGTCTGAGACGTCTGATAATTTAAATACTAATCTAAAGGCTGATCTAAATAGTCTAAAATTGCAAGACCCAGGGTCTAGAGTAGATAATGAAAGGATGCGTGTCGCCGTTCCTCCAGGTACCTCTGTGGCTGGAGCTCGAGGAAGAGAAAAACCTGGACATGAAAGAGTTCGCCGGTCTGTTTTCGCGCCAGGTGACCGAGCGAAAGCCGGTGAGAAAGGCGGACGATTCCACGAAGCCCTCTAAGGTGCAGCCAGCGAAGATCCTCGACTCGAAGCGCTCGAAAACGGTCGGCATCCTGGAGAAGAGCCTGCACGTAGACTTCTACGAGGTGGAGAACGCGGTCTACAATCTGGATACCAACGTGGTCAGCTTGGAGGCGCTGCAACAGATATATGAGATCGTAAGTCCCCAAACTGTCGTAATCCACGATTCTTAAATTCATTATGCTAACCGAGAGAGTTCTGTTTCAGAGGCCGACCGCGAAGGAGCTGGAGGACATCAAAGCGTTCGAGGAGACGAATCCGGATGTACCGTTGGACCAGCCGGAGGTGTTCCTGAAGAAGCTGTCCGGCATAAATAGCTTCGCGGAGAGGATAGCCTGTCTGATGTTCCAGACCGAGTTCCACGACGCGATCTCCTCGGTGTCCACCAAGCTGACGAACCTGAGGACCACCTGCGACTTTCTCTGCAACTCCGGATCCTTAAAGAAGGTGATCGCGTTGATCCTCACGCTGGGCAATTACATGAACGGCGGGAACAGGAGTAGGGGACAGGCGGACGGGTTCGGCCTAGAGATCCTCGGCAAGCTGAAAGACGTCAAGTCCAACGTGCCGGGTATCACTCTGCTTCACTACGTGGTCAGAGCGAGACTGGCGCAGGAGAAGGATCACAACTTCGAGTCACCTTTGCCGCTGCCTGTCCCGGAACCGGCGGACATCGAGGCTGCCTCGAACATCAACTTCGACTACATCACCGGCGAGCTGGATAGGCTGCGGAAGGAATTAAAAGGTAGAAGAACGCCCGACAGTGTCCGATCTTGTGAATTTAATTCTGATCTAGGTCCGCTGATCCTTATTTTTTAAAGGAGCACGCGAATATCTATCGACCGGTAAACAAAACCGTGCAATTTGTAACAAATATTCTATCAAACTCAGGTTTAAATGTCAAGGAATTTTTGATTGCTCGTTTTCCTTCAAAAATAATTTTCTAAAAGAGACCTTGATGATTCTCTGCTGTCTCCACACAGCGTGCGTGAAGAAGTGCGACATCGTGGTCGAAGCCGACCCCGAAAATTCGGGCCCCTTCAAGGAGAAGATGGAGAGCTTCGTGCGGGAGGCTACCGCGGAGCTGGCCAGCGAGCAAGAGGCCTTCCAGGAGGCGAGGTGCAAATTCAAGGCCGTGATGCAGTTCTACCAGTACAAGCCGAAAGGTTCGAGCCTGGACCAGGCGGATCCGAGCGCGTTCTTCGTCCTCTGGCTGGGATTCTGTCAGGACTTCAAGGTACTAGCGGGCAGAGCTGGTGCGGGGTTTCGCGGCGCAGTAAGTCTTAGCGTTCCTTGAGATCTTCGACTGGTAATTGGTGATCGCGTGCAGGACATCTGGAAGAAGGAGCAACAACGAATCATGAAGGAACGAATGGAGGAGTTGAGGAAGAAGTACGAAAGCAAGAACAAGGTGGCAAAGACCAAGAAGAGCGCGACGGGACTGAAGGCGAGACTCCTGAGGCTGCAGCGCGAGTGAATCGGGAATTTTCCGCGAGCTGAAGCCTTGGAAATGAAGATGAGTCTTCGAGCGAGGACAGTCTGGCTGTCCCGGAGCAACAGCTTGCGTGGATCCATCGATCCCTGCGATCCACGCTCTACGGCACTAATCGTGGTCGAACGCACACACGACGAGATACTCTATCGCGTAGGATATACGAATCTGTTATTGTACATAGGCTCGTTAAGTTTGCACAGAATTATTTGTAAATACGTTGTTTTTTTGCGATATAACGAGTTTTCGATTATTAATGATAATAAACGATACGTTTTTTACACGATTCGAACGTTCAGTTATTTCTTCTTCTCTTTCATATCCTCTTTTAGAGACAAAGGAAAGGATCGGCGTTGGGATTAACATCTCCTGGTAGACCGTTTGGTGTCAAATGCGTGTGCGTTTTGCGTATATTTTTTGTTTCTTTCCACTGCAATTAGTAGCGACGATACAAAACCTTCAAGTAAAAGCGAAAAACAGAGATTAACATTTAAGGGGATAGATTAATAGATTAATCGCCGTATGATCATCATCGTTACATTATCATCATCATCATAATCATTACCACCATCATCATCAGCATCATAATCATCATAATCATTATCATCATCACCAACATCACAATCTCATCATCATAATCACGACCATCGTAATAATCATCAACATCGTCATCGGTACGGGCTGTTCAACTCTAGAGTATAAAAGAAAACGAAAAAGAAAAGAAGAAAATCTTCGAAGGGAAGAGTAAAGATCGGACGCCGTCTTCTCTATTCGCGAGTCAGAGAGGTCTCGTTCCACCGGGCCCCGTCCGTTTCTATTTAACGAACGCGAAACGGGGCCCCCGCTGGTCGGCCTGGGCGCTTGTCGCGACGGTTTCTACAAAATTACTACTTCCGGTGGTCGGCTCGCCTCGGCAGGCAGGTACGATTCGCGCAGAAAGCGGCACGGCGATAGACTTTTAAGGCAATCCGGTCGCGGCTAGCGTTGACTCTCGTGTCTTTTCTAGGAAACTGTCTTATTCGCGGAGTGGTTCCCGGTCGCGACACCGAGCCGGAGAGCAATCGAGCAATTATATGTACACCATGGTCTACCCCCCGTTTCGAATTACCCCGTCGATTCCCGAAAAATTACCGATTCCCTTTTCCTCACCTCTTTCCGACGTTTGCTCCCGTTGCGATCACCCCGGGTTCCGACGGAACGAGCGTCGCGAGACGAGACGAAACGACACGATCGACGGAACGATTGCGTAACGATACTGATTCGCAGAACACGCATCCACGCAATCTTTCTCTCTCTCTCTCTCTCTCTCTCTCTCTCTCTTTCGCGCAATCTCTCATCAGTTACGGCTGGTGAACACCTAGTAGTTCTATTGGGTAGCGCAGCGTTACAATTACAATTACAATTAATAATAAATCGTTATCGGCTATGTCTCTCTGTGTACCTGGTACTTGTTCGACACGGTACGTAGCGTCGCGACGACGTTAAACTTTCGCGCACGCTATTACTTCTTCCGGTGCGACGCGACCAAACGATTTCTCTCTTTGGACCGCGCGGTCGCGTCTGTTCTGTCGCGTTGCTTGTCGCGCGATTACTACGCATTTTTACAAAATAGTTCGGTAATAATGTAAGCTCTTTCACACTCGATTAGTGAACGCGCCCAAAGAGCACATCCTCGTCATAGGTAGCGGAAACGGTAGCTATATTCACGAGACAGGCGAATGCTCTCGGGGTTCGCGTTCGCGCGCGGCTTCGAATCGTTATTACATATATATATATTTTTGTATATATATATTTATATATATATATATATTTATTTATAGATTTATATATTAGATTAGATTATCCTAAGCGTTGCGTCGACGGTGATCCCCGTTGCGCGGGTCGCTGATCCCGCCGCCGACGTTTGGCCATTTCGTTCGCGCGTATCTATACGAATATGTCCCGGCGACTATAATCGGAATGGTGCTCGTTGGTCGATAGGCGTTGGTTTTCCCTTCCGTTGGGTGGTCGGTGTCGAGACAGAGGTGTCGGAGGCACCCGATGGCTTCCTCGACAGCTTTAGAGACGGCGGTAACGGCGTGCTCGATCCGCTGGACGGTGTCCTTGTTCTGTGAAACGATCGAGACCGATATTAATCCGTGTTCAATCCCGGAACACGTCCAACCCGAACACCCCAATCAACCCTTTTGCGACGCACAAACGAAACAGACACACGATACAAATGAAAGATCGACGTCTTCCAAAAATGCTAATTTCATTCTGAACCGAAGCGAACGTACACTCGGCAGAGACGTCTGTATACGCAGACTTTTTCTACAGACGGTGTACAAAAAAAGCTTGAAAACGAAAATATATTATTTAACCCATTGACTGCCACGCAAATTTAGCACGTCTTGCCCTGGGTGCCACGGTTTCATTTTAAAGGAAACAAGAAGTTTTATAAAATATAATAATATTAAGTTACTGATATAATATTTTTTTTTGCAATGGCATTTACAGTATTTTTTTTTATTGATAATCAATATGTTCCCTACACAATATATATATTTTTCATTCATCCTTTCTAATAGTTCCTAACTCACATAGCCATTTGTAGCCAATCTAAACTTGCAGCACCCACTACGAGATATCTCGTAGCTGACAGTCAATGGTTTAATAACGAGAAACGTGTGTTAGGGTTGGATACGATGTCCCCCGTTAGGTTCGAACGATGATCAACGATGGTACACGCAGCCTGGTCGAAAGAGCGCGCGTTACACAAGGTTCGCTTGAACCAGCCACGCGGAACAAGCAAAAGACAACCCCCGTTACAATTAACAAACAAAACNTTCCGGTGCGACGCGACCAAACGATTTCTCTCTTTGGACCGCGCGGTCGCGTCTGTTCTGTCGCGTTGCTTGTCGCGCGATTACTACGCATTTTTACAAAATAGTTCGGTAATAATGTAAGCTCTTTCACACTCGATTAGTGAACGCGCCCAAAGAGCACATCCTCGTCATAGGTAGCGGAAACGGTAGCTATATTCACGAGACAGGCGAATGCTCTCGGGGTTCGCGTTCGCGCGCGGCTTCGAATCGTTATTACATATATATATATTTTTGTATATATATATTTATATATATATATATATTTATTTATAGATTTATATATTAGATTAGATTATCCTAAGCGTTGCGTCGACGGTGATCCCCGTTGCGCGGGTCGCTGATCCCGCCGCCGACGTTTGGCCATTTCGTTCGCGCGTATCTATACGAATATGTCCCGGCGACTATAATCGGAATGGTGCTCGTTGGTCGATAGGCGTTGGTTTTCCCTTCCGTTGGGTGGTCGGTGTCGAGACAGAGGTGTCGGAGGCACCCGATGGCTTCCTCGACAGCTTTAGAGACGGCGGTAACGGCGTGCTCGATCCGCTGGACGGTGTCCTTGTTCTGTGAAACGATCGAGACCGATATTAATCCGTGTTCAATCCCGGAACACGTCCAACCCGAACACCCCAATCAACCCTTTTGCGACGCACAAACGAAACAGACACACGATACAAATGAAAGATCGACGTCTTCCAAAAATGCTAATTTCATTCTGAACCGAAGCGAACGTACACTCGGCAGAGACGTCTGTATACGCAGACTTTTTCTACAGACGGTGTACAAAAAAAGCTTGAAAACGAAAATATATTATTTAACCCATTGACTGCCACGCAAATTTAGCACGTCTTGCCCTGGGTGCCACGGTTTCATTTTAAAGGAAACAAGAAGTTTTATAAAATATAATAATATTAAGTTACTGATATAATATTTTTTTTTGCAATGGCATTTACAGTATTTTTTTTTATTGATAATCAATATGTTCCCTACACAATATATATATTTTTCATTCATCCTTTCTAATAGTTCCTAACTCACATAGCCATTTGTAGCCAATCTAAACTTGCAGCACCCACTACGAGATATCTCGTAGCTGACAGTCAATGGTTTAATAACGAGAAACGTGTGTTAGGGTTGGATACGATGTCCCCCGTTAGGTTCGAACGATGATCAACGATGGTACACGCAGCCTGGTCGAAAGAGCGCGCGTTACACAAGGTTCGCTTGAACCAGCCACGCGGAACAAGCAAAAGACAACCCCCGTTACAATTAACAAACAAAACAACCACATCAGAGAGACCGAGAAACGATGGATTACCTATCTGGCTTGACGGCCGATGAGGTGTTAGTCGCTGAGTTCGAACACATCGAGCTGCTCCTGGTGTTAGAAAACAGACACGACAAAGGATTATTGAAGAGTCCCAAGCGGTGCCCAAGTTAGTGGTCGTGTAGAGACAGAGATGACAAAAGTAACAGTGAGAGGCGGCGCTTCGACGAACGTTGGACATCCGTTTAATTGTACAATTTTCTTCACTCTTTATGTATAATACACCGACAGTGGAAATTGGAAGAGGTTCGTCGAAGCGTCTCGTGTCAAACAAGCGAACAAAAATGGCAAACCGGTTGGAGAACGTTGTGTACCAGGAACGGTTTCATGGGAATTAGAATGGTTGGAACGTGCGAGATTATAGGGCACACTGTGCGTAAAGAGAGAAAGATAGAAGAAGAGAAAGCTAGCCTGTGTTAAGAGCAGAGGAAACAGTTCGGCCATACCCGGTGGAATCGGTAGAAACCGTCGAGTCGTTGCTTCGCATGGAATGGGTGGATATATTGCTGGTCGTCGATTGCGGGGATTTTATATCCGTGCCCACGTACACGGGGATCCTCGAGTGGCTAAACCATCACCAATCATCAATACATTTGTCGTTAGATCGACGGGGAACCGCGGAACGAAAAAGCTCGAACATAAACCAGAGGAACCAAAGCCAGAACCAAAAAGCCATAAACCCAACGTTAACGGATGGAAATGAGAATGAGACAAAGAAAAACAACAACAAAAAAGAACCTCCACCACATTCTTTCGCGAACGTTCTATACGAGCTGAACAAATGGTCCCGGTGCCGTGATTGCCATAAATAATTGTACGCTCGCTCGCCATACCTGGGGACATGTCAGAATTATTTTCTCAGATTTAAAAATTAATTTTCCGATAATTCCAATTTTCATTTGATTGAACGAAATACTTTAGTTGTTGTCAAATTTATCTGATCCTTTTTCTGACAATAAAACTTCTTAAGCAGGAGCGTGTCTACAATGGTAAATCGATATGCCAGGCAGCGTAGAATTTTCTGTGGTACTCGCGACAAAGAATTTCCTTGCACCAAAGATTTTGAAACTAGCTCAAAGACACCGTGTGGTTAGGAACCCCCGTCAGCCATTGATCGTACCGAGAGGCCGCGTCGAAAAGCGCAAGCGAGTATATTAAACCCGATCCTCGACTCCGATAATCGTTAATTTAGGTTTACCTGATCGGTGTGCCGACACCAGTCAGGGTTGGAATGCTCGAAGCTCTATGGATCGTGCCGAACCTAAAAACATGTTATTAACCAGACTTATGTTAATCGTCGTTAAACCGACACGCTTGAACCTAGTTGCGTTAATATGCGTGGAGAAACCGGGCTTCTAAGACAATCTATATAGCAATCTATTCGCGTCTCTAAGAAGAGCTGTCTCCGCACACCTGGTTCCGGTCATTTTTTTCATCCTCGATCGAAATAGAAACGAAAAGGTAATAGAAACTCAAAAAAAAAGATACATAAAACAAAAGGTGAGAGGTAGAAAATGCCGGGGGGGGCTGAAAATACATAAATCATCGTGCACGGTCGTCCGGATATTATATGCGAATACGTCTCACGATGCACCTAAACGTTGAGATCAGGATACTATCGGCTGGCGAACCCCGCGCCGCCTATCAACGTATCGTCAGGGTTTGCCATCGAATAGCATCGTTGTCTCTGCGGCATACCGTTCTCGTTAATCTCTACCACGTAGTAGGATGCGAGAAAATCATCAATATCTATTTTCAAGATGCGAGTTAGTCCTTAAGTATCCTTCCGTCCGATAGTTCTCTCGTTTCTTACGGCTGTCTATGGACTACGAACCTCGCTGACACGCCACTGGCTGGACTAACTAGCCCCGTGGGCGTCCTTGGTCGTGAGCTCGACCCATTCACAGGCGTTCCAAGCCTTTTCCCCGACATACTGTTATGTCTGCTCGATGTTGGTGTGTTTCCCGTTGTACTGCTGACCGTGGTTCTGCGCGGTATGCGACTCAGGTTCGTCGAATCGTCTGCAAATAATCGATAAACACTGTCAGAACATGTTCCACAATTGTTATCTCGGTTTTATCGACAATTTGGACTCTAGGACTGTTCCCAGGACTTCAACCCTTTGCGGACCATGTCTTTTTTAACCCATTGACTGCCACGCAAATTTTCAAATTATTTGAAAGAAAACATGAAGTATTTTTTTATTGATAATCAATATGGTACTCTACACTATATACACTTTTCATTCATCCTTTCTAATAGTTCCTAACTCAAATAGCCATTTGTAGCCAATCTAAACTTGCAGCACCCACTACGAGATATCTCGTAGTTGGCAGTCAGTGGGTTAAAGCGCCAAGGATATTTTCCTCTAAGACTTAGATTATGTATCAAAGAATAAAAAAATGCTGGCTCTAAACAACTTGCGTCCTGATCTCTTGTTATCTACACGATGAAGTTACACGCTTCTACTGTCGTCACGTTAGTCCTTAAAGGGGGTTGAAACGTCGTTTCGCTACCTGTGCTGTCGAGAGACTGAGTGGAACCGTAGCGACTAGGTGGTTTGCTACCCTGCCTCGAAGCTGGTCGGCTTCCTGGTCTGCTGGTTGGTCTGGACGCTGGTCTGGATGCTGGTCTCGAGGCTGGTCTGCTCGAAGGGCGACTGCCGCCTGCGAAACAACACCGATNTTTTAACCCATTGACTGCCACGCAAATTTTCAAATTATTTGAAAGAAAACATGAAGTATTTTTTTATTGATAATCAATATGGTACTCTACACTATATACACTTTTCATTCATCCTTTCTAATAGTTCCTAACTCAAATAGCCATTTGTAGCCAATCTAAACTTGCAGCACCCACTACGAGATATCTCGTAGTTGGCAGTCAGTGGGTTAAAGCGCCAAGGATATTTTCCTCTAAGACTTAGATTATGTATCAAAGAATAAAAAAATGCTGGCTCTAAACAACTTGCGTCCTGATCTCTTGTTATCTACACGATGAAGTTACACGCTTCTACTGTCGTCACGTTAGTCCTTAAAGGGGGTTGAAACGTCGTTTCGCTACCTGTGCTGTCGAGAGACTGAGTGGAACCGTAGCGACTAGGTGGTTTGCTACCCTGCCTCGAAGCTGGTCGGCTTCCTGGTCTGCTGGTTGGTCTGGACGCTGGTCTGGATGCTGGTCTCGAGGCTGGTCTGCTCGAAGGGCGACTGCCGCCTGCGAAACAACACCGATTGAATTAGTTTCTCTTTTCAGTAAGATACTAACTGGTTTTTATTTTTCTGGTAGGAACTCTTTTCAGCAGGATTTTAACGATCAATGATTAATTGAGACGGCAAACGAGAAGGAAAACGACTCACCCGGTGTAATGGGACTCCTGTAAGGCGTGCTGGTCTTTCTGGCGGACCCAATCCGGAAGGAGCTCTCGTTGTCGCTGAGGCTGTCCGGCGTCCCGGCGCTCAAAGACGATCTGGACGTCCTTGACTGTCCCATAGGGACGCTTCGTGCGCTTCGTTCTCTCACCTACGCGACAGAAACGTTAGTTGAGGCCGCGGACACGGTTTCGAGTCGTAGAACGCGAGGTGTCTGCTCGAGAGTAGAGGCAGAGAAGTCGACAGCCGGATAAACAGCAGAGTCGTCGTTTCGGCTGTTGGGCGAGGGCCGCGATGACCTCGCGAGGCGGAAATCGTTTGAAAATCGTCTGAAAATCGTTCAGAGAAATCGGAGAATCGTCTCAACCGTGATCCGGACATATTTGTAGAAAGTATCCGCCTCGCGATTTCGCCGACAGCCGCGCCGAAGTGTCGCAGAGTCGCTGTTCGTTTGCTACCTGCGATCGACGGGATCTATCGATCTATCGGTCGATCGGCCGGCGCGCAACGCGAACAGAAACCGGGAAACCGGTTGGTGTGGTCGAAGAGAGCGTGTTTTACCGTCTAGAGAAAGTCCAGTGTAAATCAAATAAAGAAATGAAAAGAAACAAAGAAGATCCATGCAAACTTACCAGAGGAAGTTGGGAGAGATAGAGTAGCTTATGGTGGTTCGAGGTATCTCCGATCAACGCCACTATGCACGCACCAATACAGCAATACAGGAGATTTCGTTATGCACAAGAGAATCGATAGTAACACCATTGTTCCGCGGACCGTGCGTTGTGTTTTCTTGTCTATCGCGGAGAACCGGAACACGCAAACTGTCGCGAAGGAACGACCGACATCCTCGTCTCGACTCGTTCAGCTCCTCGAGATCCCCGACTTCGGAGGACGACGATCGTTCCTTTCGCCGCAGAGAATAATCCCGGATTCGTTCTACGGGGATATTATGGGGGATCGTTGTTCAGAGGCATCCAACCAATGGCAACACAAAGAATAACCCGGCGGAATTTAATCGCGGAAATCAGAGAGAAATCGCCGCGAGATCGAATCCGCCCAGGGTTTCGTGAACTCATGCGTGGTGTGTGTGTGTGTGTTCTTTTTTTGTGGAGATGCATCCGCGACCAAGTTCTCATCTTCGCGGCGACGCGCTCGCGAACAACGCCGCGACGTGGCGAAACGACGGGGTTGCATCGAAAGAAAAACAATTTATAGAAATAAGATGAAACGACGATTATGTTTTCACGTTGAGACACAATAGTTGCGGAATAGGTGAAAATATAGTGGAAACGTGGAATATGAACATTTCTTCAGCCGAAAAGCTGATATTAATTCATTACCCGAATTCAAAAATATCAAGAAAATAAAATTAAATTGAGATTATTATAGTTTCAAGTTTACAATGATTTAAAACAAAATCGTGGGAATTCTTAATACTTTCGTGGAGAACGTGACGTGTTCTCGCCATTTTAATGGCTGTATTTTATTTAGAAGTTGCAGTTTTTAAGAGAATAAATATTTGAAGAAGTGTTCCAAAAATGGAACATCGGCGGATAACGGGGTAAATTTGTGAAACGTTGAATAATCTAGTCGCAAAAATTTATCTATCGTCTCAGGATTTTAGAAAAAAAAAAGAAAAAACGACTCGATTCTTAAAATAAAGATCATTGCTTTATCTCGTTTCAAAAAATTCTTCGATCTTGACGCGACTCCGTCGCTTTTCACCAGAAAGAAGAAATCATGTTCTCGCCGACCGATTTCAGCGCGTTCACGGCGATGGAAAAAATAGTTCGGACTCGCGGAATTGCATCGAATCGTCGGAATGATCGTGAATTTCTGCGATTACGATTGCAGGCGGTTGATCTGCGAGTGCATCCAGTGCATTACACAGACGGGGGTGGTTGGCTCTCGAAGGGATGCGGTGCGGTGCTCCGCGGCCGCGTCGACGGCCGTGGACGTATTGTCGCGTCAACGCGAGGATGATACACCTCGACGATGCTAAAAACGGAGTATGTAGTTTCTCGGTCGATCGTGCAGGGGGTGGTTGATCTAATCTACCGGTTCTACCGCATGCACGATCCTCGATCCAAGCTACGGAAAACGTCGAGATTCCCCGTTTCCCGAGAATGATCGCAACGATCTCAATGAGACAACGAGGGAGGGGAGTGGCCGTCGAACGAAAGATCGGATATGATCGCGATAGATCGTCGAGATCGACGAGGCCGCACGCGTTCCATCGGTCGTCGCACGATGACGCGCGGAACGTAAAGCTCACTCGAAAACAAAAGGAAGAAAACACTGGAGAAGAGAAAAATGAAAAATAATAGTAACAACAATGACAATGATGATTCATAATAATAATAATAACAACAACAATAATAATAATAATAATAATAATAACAACAACAACAACAATAATAATAATAATAATAACAACAACGACAGACCAAACTCAAAAAAGAAACAGAGCGAACCAGTTTTTTTTTGCGAAACAGAGAGAAAACCAAAAAAGAAAAAAAACACAGAAAAAAAGGGAAAAAAACGGTGAGAAACGCAGCAGAGATGTAAACAGAAAATAGATAAATATATGTAATGTACGGGGGTATGTATAATAACGATAGAAAATCATGATTAATAATACTGGGGTACGCCGTGTGTCACACCAACGACAGCAGAATTCAGAGAATAGAGTTTTCTTATTTACCCAATGATAAGAGGGGGCGTGCATGTGGAGGGGATACGAGCACGGGAGGTCCTCCTTTTGCCTCAAACTCTCAAATATCGGCGTCAGCTGGCTCATAAACTCCTCCGCTACACCACAAACGAAAAGTTTAAGGAAAATGTAGCAACGATCCCGCGTGGCGAACACCGTTCCTGCACACGGTCGGTCGGTCGTACGACGGTCCAGCGGGGGGCAGAGAGCCTTCCGAGCAATCCTGATAATCGCGGTCCTTCGATCCGCGTCGAAGATCTACCGCGAGGGATCCTGCTCGGAAGCTCCTCGCCCCGCTGCGCAGAGAACTCGAGATCCTCGGGATCTCGACGACGTCCACGGGCGGCCGTGAAACTCCACCGGAAAATCGACGGAAAGAGGAGACCAGAGCCGGGCAAAGCGGGGCTCCCCCCGATCGAACACAACCGCGAACATTACGCGAACTTTTATTCTAGCGGACGAAAGATGGCCGAAAGTTCTCGGTCTGTCTAAACGATGGATCAGCCGCCATTTTGCTATGCACTTGAATTTTGATATTTATTCGAGTATATGATTTCGACGAAGATACGAGAATCCTGAAAGTGCAGTAATTTTTCCCTAATTCGCGTTCAGATGGCACACAAAAAAGGGTATCATCGAAGGGGATCGTTTTTTATAATTACCGATTCTATAAAAACTATACAATACAACTGTATTTTATATGTAGTTATATATATAGTATGTAATAATAATAATTTATATATAACTAAATTTTATAACATAGTTACATATAAATTATTGTTATGTAACTATATTTTATAACATAGTTATATATAATATATACTAACAATTTATATAATAACTTATAATATATAATAATAATTTATATATTATTATAGGGAGAAATTACTGCGACTAACGCGTGTGCTTTACAACTAGACTGCGGATTTTACGTACTAATGACAAAATCGATTAATTACAATTTAAAATAGTGTAACAATTAAAAGCATTTCGAAACGTCCACGTATTATTTTGAATCTATTAAGATTGTTAAAAAAAGAAGAATAAAGTTGCTACTTGATTATTATTATTTTTTGCAATATTCGAATAAATTGAATGATAAATAAATTGAATAAAAAAAGTGTCGAATAAAAATTTAACAAGCAGCAGAAGTCAACACATAGATCGTCGCGTTGATCACATGCGAGCGAGACTAATTTTTAACACGATTTTGAAATTCATTTTAATCGCAATAGATCGAACAAACTGAACGTTATTAATTTTCTAGTTTCGATTTCATTAAACGAACGACTCTTAACACAATGGGAATGTTTCAAGTTGATCACACTTTTATACAATTAAACGTAGCAACGATTCTGGATTTCTCGCGTTTTCATTGCTCCGCGTTTCGTCTACCCGGTTTTGCCGTAAACGCAGAAAATCCGTCAACGACGACAACGACGGCGACGACGATTTTTCCCCGCGTTCGTCCGTAAAACAGCGAACACACTCGCGCGGTTTCCGGTGGTCGAATCGCGAGGTTTGCGCGCCACTTTGCCCAACCCTGAAGAGACAGTCTCGTGAAATCGCATCTCCTGAGGTGACTATTGACCCCCGGAATGCCGCCGGGGGTTGACTCTCACGGCCCGAAATTTAATCATCCCGATCCGAAGACGCACAACTGCGTGGCTGTGGGGTGTGCGCGGGGGCTGAAAACTGAAGAGGGAGAGAGAGCCGGTGGTGTCGGGGGAGTTGTGTGACGGAGGGTGGTGGAGGGTGGATAACGGAGAACCGAGTCGGGGAGCACGAAAGGGGTGACTTTGAGAAGCGACTACCTAGAGGTGCGGAGGGTAGGCTCTAGGTGCGACGATTGCTATCGTCTTTCTAAGCTGACATGCTCGCATGCGAAGAAGACAAATTGGTGAACCGAGGCCGACGTCTTTGTACTTACCCCTATTTGGGCGCGACAGATCTTCGACTAGGCAAGACCATTTGATAGAGAGAGAAAGAGGGAGGGAGAGAGAGAGAGAGAGAGAGAGAGAGAGAGAGAGAGAGAGAGAGAGAGAGAAAGAGAGACAGAGAGAAAGAGGATCGAGAGAGTCGCGAGCTTTTGGAGATCGAGATCGAACCGTTCGACGCGACTTTGCTCTCTTCTTCGAGGTGGCGTGGACTTAGCTATTGTACAAGGTGTCTCAGACTCTTCGTGGTGGAAGCTGAATTCAAATCGGTCTTGCCAAAAAAATCTGACGATTTTTACGAACAGTTTTATTCCTGTTTTTATTGTAAATCGTTACGCAGAGAGACACCCTGTACACGCGCGACCAATTGGCGGCTGCTTTCCCACTAAATCACGTTCGTTTGGTCTCTACGAAGCTGTGCAACCTTCCATGTAACTATTCCAACAGTAAGCCTACCGAGTCTTGACAGTAACTGACTCTATTTTTATTGGAATTAAGAAAGAAAATTGAATTTGTGAATTTAAAGAATTAATTAATTTAATTTAATATGATTCATTTAATTAATTAGGTGAATGTAATGAAAGAATGAATTAAGAAGTCCGTACACGTTTCTATTACAATTTATGCTTGCATTAAGAAAAACTTATTCGATTATTTTCTATGAAAGAGTCTTCAAAATCGCACTTTCAAATTTGTTTGAAAGCGAACACGATTTTTATCGACTCGGTAGGATCACTGCTGATCTATCCAAATAGTCTAGATCGTAACACATATAGGGAAAGTAACTGCCACCCAAGATTTTATTTTGATGCTATCTCGACACTAGGTATCATCCATCGCGGAGATCGTTTAAAGAGATCAACGAACGATCCAGCGATCCAGTCTGCATGGATCTAGAGACTCACTTGACCAGACAGTAGCCGATCGTGATCATCGAAGAGGATCGAGAAAGACAGAGAGAAATAGAAAGAGCGAGAGAGAGAGAGAGAGAGAGAGAGAGAGAAAGAGAGTGAGAGTGAGAGAGAGAGATAACGAGAGACAGTCCCCTGGATAAATCGTGATCGGCAATGGACGACGATCCAAGAGATCGAGATTCCCGATCATGATCCATCCGAGGGACGTGCGAGTGATTGGTGGCGTTACCTTGGTGATCGGTCCGGCGTTCGCGGATGAGATTTGCGTACGCTGCAGGGTCGAGGTCGGGCTCGGCTTCGACTTGAACGCAGTCATTGTCTGGCTGACCCCGTCCGCCAGAATGAATTGCTCTCGCAGCTCGATATTCGTTCTTCCCTTGGCTACAGTGGTGTGTTGCGTGCACGCAAGTTAGAAGGAAGCCGTTACAGGACATGTATGCGCGGGATTTAATTGTTTTGTTTTTATATTAGAAGAGGGCCGGACGAAGAGAACAATGTATTTTATACACAGAGAAAGAGAAAGAGCGAGAGAGAGAGAGAGAGAGAGAGAGAGAGAAGAGATAAAGAGACAGAGAAGAGACAGAGGTTGAAAGAAGATAGAGGAAGGACAAAAGAGACAGATATACAGAGAGAGAGAGAGAGAGAGAGAGAGAGAGAGAGNAGAGAGAGAGAGAGAGAGAGAGAGAGAGAGAGAGAGAGAGAGAGAGAGCGACAGGGAAAAATACACCGAAGAGCAGATAATTAACGGGCAGCCGAGATTGTTCGATTTTTATATTTTTTTAATAGCAGAGAAAGTTAGTTGGCGCAAATACAAATCAGAGCGATCGAGGGGTGGTTAAATCAAGCGGGGTACAGGAAGTAATTATTCGAGACAGAGAGAGAGAGAGAGAGAGAGAGAGAGAGAGAGAGAGAGAGAGAGAGAAAGAGAGATTGACAGCGATCATGCGCGTCGAAGATTATTCGATTTTTAGCGCGGAAAATAGAAAAGAGAAGAGACAGCAGAAGACATAGAGACAGTACAATAAGATTAGGGGTTGGTATAAGGCGCAGTAAAAATAGCGGCGACAGTACAGCGAGTAGTAATTGTTAGAGCGTTGCCAGCGGCGTACACGGTATGTTTGTGTGCGAGTGTACGGTGGTAGACAAAAAAGAGAAAAAAAATACAGTGTATTATAGAACGATCGTATCGACGGAGGTTCGGCTGTGGGTGGGGGGCGTGCCGATCGACGGGTGTGTCAAAAGAGTAAATCGTATTTGGTCTAGAATATTATGGGAAACGTGTGACGAAGAGAAACCGCTTTGATTTGCATTGGTAGGCTTGTCGATGATAAATGAGAACGATGAGAGATTATGATATCTGTCGGTTAATTCCCGTTAATTATTACGTGGACAAGTTGCACGTCGAGAGACCGGGTGGGGGGTGGCATGCTACTGCAACGCCGACGTTCCAAGCTCGTCGATTGCTTTTAATTAGCTTCTAATTACTCGCTCGATTATCGAGACACCGAACTATTAAAATGTCGATGGCTCGAAATGACGAGCACTCGAGACACCGAGATCTAAAAGCACCGAATCACAGACATCTCGAATCGTCGACAAAATTACCCAACTCCCGAATTACTTAACCTCTTCGAGTTATTTACCTCCCAAATTAACGAACTCCCAAATACACTGAAATCCCAAGCTGTTAACCCTTTGCACTCGAGTGGTGACTTTGAGGCACCATTAAAATTTGTTATATCACGTTCTCTTTTATATCAACAAAATTTAGATTTAAATAATTGTTAAGGGTCAATAATTGTTGCGCGAGTCACAAGAGCCAATTTCATATGCATAAAATGCACTTTGTCGTATAAAATAAAGGATTAAATTCACAAAGTATTGAACTGCCAAATAGCTAAACTCCCATCTCACCGATCGCTCGAAACCCCGAAGTACAGCATCCAAAAAAACTGTCAACTTGTAACGGCAGCGTTGTCAGGGTTCGTTGAGAAAAGTGCGAAGTTTCTATCCAGAACCGGGAATATCGTAAACGAACCGACGAACGCGATGAACCGGCAGTGGATCGCGGAAGGAAAATACGACGAGAGATTAATGACCGACGCGACCGCGATTTTTGAACGTCGTCGAAGGGTTCGCGGCGAAGTTAGGACAACCAAAAATCATGCTTCCACAGGCGCGCGCGCGTCCGTACATACACGCACACACGCACTCGCAACACACAGGCTCGCACGCAAAAGATCTGCAGACACTCGAGACGAATTGTATTACCGCACAAAAATTACACGACACGACACGACACGATACGAACTCATTGCGAGGAAGCAAACGTATCAAACACGGAACATGCAGGATATACGAAAACGACGATTTCGTGGCCAGCGCGGTACTGTGAGTCGTTCGTCTCCCATCTCTCGCTGCCGGGAAGGGCAATCGTCAATGCGTAAATCGAAATCGATAGAGGCAGAGGGGGGGGGAGAGGTCGATCTTGTTTTGAAAACGCGCGGGCCACGAAGGACAATTATTCCCATTATAAAAAGATTCTCACCGAGCGGACACCAACCCTCGTGTTGTTCCGGTTTGTTAGGGTCCGGTATCGGCATTAGAAAAACTTGACGGGTTAATCACGATATGAGGAGTTTAGCGATGGTCCGTTCAATTGTTCTTTCTTTCGTAATGTTTTTCTTTTTTTTTTGCATTTCGTATGTATTATCTCGTTAAGTTCGAACGAAGGCATGCAATAATGTCAATACGTATAATAAAACTCGAATGCGTATCCAATAGGTAAATGTATACACGTGAAAAACAGATATATATATATGTATATCGGACAGTATCAAAAAGGTCTAATTAAACGTCGGCAGAATGGTGCGAATAAGTGACAAACGAGATGTATCGATTCTGGGACGTGGAAACAATGTGTCCTGGTGGGAGGATATCGTGGGGGAGCGGCAGAGGATCAACCAATGAATTTATTAGTAGGCTAATCACAAGCGATTACGAGTCTCCTAATGTACCAAAATACCTCTAAATGGCTCAAGGGCGAGGGGACCGTCGCAATTCACGAGCCGGCGGTTGACAAAAAAAAGAAGGATCGTAATTAAACGTATCTGGACGCTCGACAATAAGTCGCAGATAAACGACCCCCCACCAATTTGCAGAAATTCTTCGATCGGCGCGAAATATTGTCGAGCGTCCGACCTTGACCGAGGGGTTCGAGGAAAACCGAGGCTCGTGAAACGCGACGATCCGCTCGCGATTAGTACGTAACAAAGCCCAAAAAACGGAACCTAGCGGTTACAGGTGAGATATCGACGCCTCGGCGATGGTCCGCCTACGCGCGCGCGTGTTAGCAACGGTCCGGGCTCGGTTAATGACGATTAATTATTATTATTAGTCACGCTCACAAATCGTACCTCAGGAGCTGAGATCGTACACGCACGTGTGAATGCATCGTGGGGAGAGATGAGAGAATGAATGCTCGCGCGTATTCGTCGTGGATGATTCGAACGGGTTGAAAATCACGGGGATGAACGAGAGTGTTACCGAGGCAGCGGGGGTGAACGCGAAGTCGGCGGGTGTGAAGGGTTACGAAACGGAAACGAGAACGGAAACGGAAATGGAGAACACTCTTGATTCGAAGCGACGGAACACGCGACACGAGAAACAAACGAACGAACAAACGAACAAACAAACAAACAAACAAATAAACAAAAGGCAAAACGGGTCAAACAAATCCCACACGCGTCGCTAATCGGCGAAACAAACATAGTAAACGCGTTTAGCTGCCTCTTTGGAATTGGGGAGATGGGGACGGAAGGGTGAGATCGCCGAAGATAGATCGAACGGTCGATCTGAGTCGCGTTCTGGGACTCTGGGGGACTGCTGAGGGCCGCGGGTGTCTGGGACCGGTCCCGAGGACTAGTTTCCACGCTCGGATTCTACTCGAACACTGAGTTTCATCGCGGTTCATAGTCAGCGATTCGAGTATTCGACGGTCACGAAATAGAGAAGAGACAAAAAGTCCAAACGGATTGGATACTCACCGCGGCAAGGATCATTCTTTAACAAAAATTCGTCCAGAGCTACCCAGCCTCCACCCACTCGTACCATCACGGTGGATCGCAGAATGCGGACCAGACGCAGCTTCTGACTATCACCGAACTACAAACAGAATATTATCAGAATGATGCTCGTCACTGTTTTGTACTACACAACTACTTCGCAACAGCTTTACCCGCCGTGGGTCTGCTCGTAGACTTCTATATAATAATTAGACTGCGGATCTCAGTGTAAAATAAAAAATTATGTAAAATTGTACCTAATAAAATTCGATATAGATAAAAAATGCTATGTTTCTTCTACTCGTTTTTGTTGCAAATCCGCAATCTAATAGCGTTGTGCAGCCAGGGGATAAAGCTGAACCGAGAGCTGATCTTAGTACCCTGTATTTCCCTTCGCCGACTTGGAACACGCGGAACTTCTGACGACAGGTGCACAGCATCACCAGCCGCTTGACCTCGTCGTGGATCTTGTCGGTGTCGTTGTAGGTCCTGCGCTCCTCCCAGTCTGGTCTCAGGGCTGCAATGAACTCCTTCCAATCTATTAAACCCTCGCCGTGACGGTCGAAGAGGTCCGCCACTGCTCCCATCTCTAATCTCGATGTTTCAAACTCTGCAAGCAGCGATTTCATTGAAACAATCCTTCCCCATTTGCATATAAAATGTTGGTAGGACAGTGTACTGACTGGTGTTCATGATTCCTTGGATGAAGTCCTCGCGAGGAATCAGACCGTCGTTGTTCTTGTCCATCTTCCTGAAGAGATCCGTCAATCTGGACTTCTTGTGGTTCATGAACTTGAGGAACTGCAAGGGATACAATGCTCTTTAACAAGATCCAAAAAGGTTGACAGAGGATCTAGGCCCACCTACCCTCTTCCTCCAGTCCTCCCAGCTGAAGTTCGCGACCCGGTCCAACTCTTGGATGTAGTTGTACTTGTCCTGAAGCCGGCGTTGTCTCTCCCACGCTAGCATCCAAACGTGCCTCCACCTGTCCCACAGGAGTTTCACCCTCGGGCTGCGGAACTCGGGTTCAGCGCCTTTGCTGTGGACGATAGAATTCGATTAGCTCCAGGCTTTCTTACAAGAACACCAAGGGTACTTGGTTAAACGAAGCGTGAGAAGCAAAGGAAGCGGATAAACGTAGAAGAGAATCGTTAGATTCTGTCGGGAAACGAATATCTCTAAGGGAAAGATATTGTGTACGGTTAGTGCTAAAGAAACCAAAGAGAACGAACGAAGGAGAGTGTAGAAGAATTATGGTTCTAGAGTAAAAATCAACGCAATCGGTGGAACTGCAAAAAAAGAGAGATGTGTTACAAGAATGTGTCAGGGCACGCAAGCAGATAGCATGGACGGGCTCTGAGGGTCGAATGTTGTTAAAGGCTGGTTTTGACGAACCTTCCTTTGGGTGGGAAGCGTGGGCCGATGTGCGGCAACGAATCCGGCGTTCTGTCACGGCCCGGGCTGGCACGGCTAAACAGGAACATGCGTCACATCACTCGACACTTCTACCAGACAACGATCACCGTGTCCCAAATCGGCGATCGATCCTCAGGTTCCTTACGGGACGAGCAAACGGGGAAAGTGTACAGAGAACAGGCCTGAAAGCTACAGATAGCCGAGCCGTGGGCTCTTTCCGACAGATAAATTCCGATAGACAGGCCTGTTCTCCCTACTTGTCACAGGATGGTTCACTCGGCTCTTTGCAGAGACCTTGCATTCGAGTGTAACATTACGAGAAGAAGTAACGGGACTACGAAGGTCCGCTTCAGCCAACGAACAGAATGAACTATCCTGTTGGGTATACGCCTCGGACGCGCTCCAAAGTGTCCTTTCTCAAAAGTTACTCTCTACCATGCTGCCTACGATGCACAATCGCACGTCGACGATACTCTACTCGAGAATTGAAACCGATCGAACGAAGCGTTCTGAGACAGAACAGGCGAGGAGACAGAGAGAGAGGTCTCGGCCACGCACCTTTCTGTCGCTCCAGGTGTATCCCCCTATGGGCGTCTTCAAAGTTCTCGAGCTCTCGTTAAAGAGAGATCAACGCAGCAAAGTAAAGATAAAAGGGAACCAAAATACAAAAAAACTCAAACGCAGCATGCACGGCCAAGGGTTCGAAGAACTTCCGAAGCTCAAACGGCAATCATACGGGGAACCAAAAAGAGAACGATCTGCTGAGAAGCAGGTACAAATGCGTTGTGCTGCTCGTTAGCGATTCTGACTACCTCGGAGGAACGATGACACTCTTGAGACGAGCGCGATCCTCGGCTATATCTTTGCTAAAAGAAACGGGACCGGAAGTGACAAGGGGACCAAGAGTGTGAACGTACGTCGGTGCTGGTGACTTAGCCTTCGTTATCTTCTTGGTGTCCTTCACGGACTTGATCTGCCTGGCCTTGCAGACGCGGTCGACCTCATTCTGTCTGCGACTGGTGTTCTCCATGAACTCTCTGTGATCAGCGATCAACATCTCCAAGGTTGCTTTGTCGTCCGGCAGGGGTTCAGCTTCGAGAGCGTTCAGAGTGTTCTCCAGACCCTCCAGCCAGGATAGCAACTCTTCCAGCAGGTTGTCTAGGTCCTACAAGAGTCAACAAGCATCACTCAACATCTATATCTAAATAATTTGTGTAACAGTGCCTCTAGGAGAACAATTGCCTACCTGAAGACCTTGCATATGATTCTCCAACCTCTGGTTCCTCTGCATAGCCCATGTGGCTACCTCATCCCACCTGGATTGGATGATAGTAATCCAATGCTTGATGACCAGCACACCGTCGGGATGAGCCTTGCCCAGGATGGAATGGGCGAGTTGCAAGGTCTGATCCTTCTCGTACTCCTTGGTGCGCAGCTCCCTGAGGAACTTCTCGTGTTCCATTAGCTGGTTTCTGCTCTCTTGTTCATCTTCTGGAAGCTGTCCAGCGAACCTTAGCTTCATCTCCGCGTCGCTGAGCCACTCGAGAAGCACATGGACCGCCTTGTGTAGTCGTTCAGCCTCCTTCAGAGCCTCTTCTAGGCGGTCGGTCTTCTCCGAGGATAATTTAGAGACCACGTCCCACAAATCGTTCAGTTCGAACAGCTGAGAATCGATTGCGGACGCGTCCTCCACCGTGGCCTTGCCGAGAAGTTCTCGCCCGGTCTTGATGACGGACTCCATCTGCGATGCTCGAGACTCTAGGTCTTTCTCGAAGGTCTTGTGTTGTTCCACCAGGTTCATCACGGTGTCTAGGTCACCGTGAAGAGGTCCGGTATTGGCCAGCTGTTTCTTGGACTTGACCAACCACTCCAGCAGAGCCTGAATGGCGTCCTTGTACTGTCCAGAGAACAGCAGAGCCTCTTCGAGCTTCCTCTGTCTGTCAACGCATTTGCCGCAGACGGTGGTCCACTTGTTCTTCAGCTCGTTCAACAGCTCCTTAAGCGCAAACTCGTCAGTCTTTGGCGCCTTGTCCTTCAGCGATTTCCCGTTCTTCATGGTCGTGTCATACGTTCCCTGCTTGGCGCTGAGAGCTTTCTGCAGCTCGCGGTGTTTGTTCAGCCGAGCCTTTATCCTCTCAGGATCGTTGCCACCAAGACCACCGTCTGCAGAGACCTCGTCCAAGGTCCTCTCGGTTTCGTCCAGCCAGTTCATCAAGCTGGACCAGGCGTCATGGAACTCCCTAGCCTCCTTGTATCCATGATCCAAAGCCCTGGTCCTCTCAGCGGACTTGGACACAACCCTCTCCCATCTGTGCTGCACGCTGATCAACAAGTTCTTGATCAGGATAACGTCCTGCTTTTGCGAGAAGTACTTCAAATGCGTGCCCTTTTTGTCGAGATTCAACATGGTTTCCCGATGCACGCCGACGTCCTTCTGGAAGGTCTTGTGCTCCTCTATCTGGCTAAGGATGGTCTCCATCACCCTAGAGACAGGTTTCAGGTTCGTCAGTATCTTCTCAGCGTTGGTCAGCCAGTCGACGAACGCCTGGAGGGCGTCGTGGAATTCCGTGGCCTCCTTCAAGGCTATCTCCAGCTTGATCTTCTTATCACTGGCGCGGGCGGTCACGTTGTCCCAGCGTTGCTTCAACGTCTTCAGATTGTGGTTCAGTCCACCAGCGCTGTGCGAGTCTGCGCGCTTCAGGTACTCTTGTCCCTGTTGCAAGACCGTCTCCACCTTGGGCCTGTTCTGCTCCAGCTCGTTGTAAACCTCCATGAAACGCTCTAACTGTTCCGAAGCTGTCTCCGGCAGTCCACCGAGAGGCTTCGAGGCTACGATGGTGTTGTCCACGTCACCTAGCCAGGACAGAAGGTCCTGGATCTCGGCCGTGAACGACTGCGCTTCTCTGAGAGCGTCCTCGAGCTCTCGTTGTCGATCTGCAGCCCGCTGCAGCAGATCTCGCCAGCGTCGGTTCAAGGTACCCAACTTCTCGGCTGTTGTCGATGCCTCGGCTGTTCCCTTGCCGTCCTCTATAAGCTGCCTTCCGGCGTCGTTCAGTGTGTCAACACTGGTCTGGTGAGCCTGGATGTCGTTCACCAGAACCTTCAACTTGGCTAGCTCCACCTCTATCACTTGTGGATCACCTGCCACCGCTTTCAAATTATCCAGGGTGTCGTCCGTTTTCTCGATCCAGACCAGCAGCTCGTCCAGAGCGTGCTGGAACTGTCCTAAACGCAGCAGAGCATTCTCTAGAAGCCTCTGCCGCTCCACAACGCCTCTCAGCAATCCGTCCCATCTCTTGTTCACAGCTCCTAGAGGCTCCTTGATCGCGGCAGCTTGTTCCGACGATGTCCTCTCTGTCAACTCTGCTGCTTGCCTGTAAAATGAAGATGTACTGTAAGATCGGTGTTCTAGGATTGGAGGAAGCGTACACCTTAAGGAATGCTTGTAAATAAAGGGTACAGTCTTGTCCTGCCTCGTACGATTAACACGTTTAGTCGGAACGAACACAGAGGGTCGACGACTCTACAGGAGAGGAGTGACACAGAACCCTATAAGACGGCAGAAAATGCTGGCTGGATCTCTTCAATTTGTCTATATTATTCTGGCTCAATCGTAAGGATCGTTGGCCACTATTTTCTGCCTCGAATTCCAATCTGATTATGCCATAGGCTGGGATCCATTCTCGAATCACCATGACTACCTACGATCTGGTATATGTGAGTAGAACAGGCACGCCACGAGCCAGGCAGGCAGGCAGGCAAATAACAACGACAAACTCGACGGCAAGGTTTAGAACTCCAACCAACAGGGAGCGATTAGGGGTTCCGATTATTTGATCAGGTATTAACGATTGTTACGGGCGACGAAGCTTCACCTACGAGACTACTTCGGTGTACAACGCTTCAGGTGCTTGCAGGTGAACTAAGTTCGCAGGTGAGGCATCGACGTGATTAAGACACGGAACACATTGGGGAGAGCTGGGGATGGTAATTACGTACTCCGGTCGATCGTAGAATAAATTTAAGCCATGCTCTAACTACAGCTACAACACAGAGAGAGGGTTGACTTGCCTGGTCAGACTCCTATGCGTTCAGCAACCGGCGCGGAAACAACAAAAGTTCGGATTAGAATCTCGCTGGTGTCTTGGCATTGTTATCGGTACAAACGAGAAGACGCGTGTATGGGAGACAGAGATGCCAGGAAAGTATCTACCGCGAGTCTCGGCTGTATGGACAAGTTTAGAGCAAAATAAAGAAACATGATCTTTGCCTAAATAAAAAGTCCATCTGGATCAGCTACGATCTATCTTGTCCTTACAGCCCAAGGTCAACGGGCATGGCATCGCTGGTGGAAAACAAATGCAAGTATGGCACGCGCGTTGGAACACGTTCGTCAGATAGCGTACGATTATATCAGGGCGGATCGAACAGACGCAACAAGGCTTCAACCGAGGAATCGTGGTTGGTTACCTGTTCAGAGCTTCGACCTTGACCATGTGTGGGTCTACTTCAGCCTTGAAATTGGCCAACTGTTTGATCTGTTTCTTAACTTCATCGATGTCGCTGCCCAACGGTCCCATCCTGGCGAACTTCTCTTCAGCCTCCTGCAGAAATTCGAGCAGACTTTGCAGGGTCTCGTGGAACTCCATCGCCTTCTCCATCGCGTCGATCAGGTTCTCCTCTCGCCTGGCGTACAGAGCGGTCACGTTGTCCCAGGCCTGATCCAGGTCCTCGATGTGTTTCCTGACCTCTGGTTTGTCTGGTTCTCCGCAGAGACCCATTAACTCGTGCCCTGAAGCCCGGACCTGTTCCACGTCGGGTTTCGTCTGGTCGATCTCATGCCTGATCTCCTGCAGAGCGACCTGTTGCTGTTGGATCGCGCCCGGCTGTGCAGCAGGCGGTGCCTGACCAGAGAGAGCATCTTGCAGCTCTCTCAAGGTCGACATCACGCCGTTCAATTCGGACCAGAACTTCTCTGCGATCGCTAGAGTATCGTCCAGGGTGTGACTTCTGTCGGTGGTGGCTCTCTGCACGTCGCTCCATAGTTTGTTCAACTTCTCCAACTTCCTCTTGATGTCCTTTACGGCTGGGTCGGCTCTGTTGCCCGCCTTACTGATCACATCATCGGCGGCTCTTCTTACGGCTGCATAAGCTTCCGATCTCTGAGCCAGCTCGTCGACCAGCGCAGAGTTCTCCTCCATCTGATCCCTCAGGCGACCTGGATGAGCGCTGATGGGCTCCGCTCCGTTGACCTGGTCAGCCGTGGAGGACAGTGCACGCAACATACCCTCCAGTTTGTCAGAGAACTGAGAAGACTCCTGCAACGCCTGCTCTAGGGTCTGCTGCCTGCTGCGCAGCTCGGCTCTGAGTGCCGCGTACCTGGCAGTGTCAGCTTCCAAGATGTCCTGTATCTTGATGCCTTCCTCCTCGTTACAGAGTTTGATCAACGCCTCGCCGGTTTTGATCAACTTCTCGACGAGAGGCTTGTGCTCGTTGATGCTCTGCATCAGCATCTCGTTCTTGTCCTGCTGCGCTGCTATCAGATCGGGCCTCAAGGCCGGCATAGGCAACATGGCTACCTGGTGCTCTGCCTCCTCCAGCCAGCTAACCAGCCCAATGTGCGTGTCCCGTAGATGTTCTGCCAACGGCAAAGCTTGCTCCAAAGCTCCCAACCTATCCGCGGAGAGACCGGACACAATCTCCATGGTCTCTCTGAGGTCCTCCATCTTCTCCCTGATGGTGGAGGTGTCCTCGTGCTGACCGTTCTCGCGGATCACCTTCTTCGCCGTCGAGATCACGTCTCTGACGCGACCCTTCTGGCTGGAGATGTCGTCGTTGAGAGCCTTGTGCTCCTTCAGCTGGACTCGAATGATCTCTGGCTCGCTGCTGGGTGGCTCAGCCTCCCGGAGCTGGTTGTCTACCTCGCGGAACCACTCCAGAAGGTCGTCGATGTCTCCGATCACCTCTAGCGACCTCTGCTTGCTCAGCTGAATTCTTTCTGCCTTTCGTTGAATCTGTTCTGCAATGGCGTCGAACCTCCTGTTGTCTCTGGTGACTAGACCTTCTATGGTGGCTGCTCCCTCGCCAGGTGATAATTGAGACAACTGTGGTCCCACCGCGTTGATCTTGTCCAGGACTGGCCTGTACTCGGAGATCTCCATCTCCAATCTCACGATCTCGTCCTCGCGAGGCTCGGCAGATTGCAGAGCAGACTCTGCAGCTTGCATCCAGTCCATCAGTCGATTGTGGTTGTCGTGGAACTGTTGGACCAATGGCAGCGACTCTTGGGCGTGCTTCAGCAGGTCGGAACCTCGACTGACAAGGTCGTTGAACCGTCGCTGCAGAGAGTCCAGTTTGTCCTTTAGCTGCAGGGCTTCGTCGCTGGAGATGTGCTTCATCAGCTCCAAGCCTGCATCCGTGGTGCTGTCTACTTCCGTTTGCCGGGTGGAGACCTCTTCGGTGAGGTCGGCCAAGTCCTCCATTTGCTGAAGAAGCTTTTCGGTGTGCACTGCTAGGACACGGTACTTGGACAGCCTGATCTCCATGCCCTCCATCCAAGCCTGGAGCTCTTGGTAGCTGAGCACCAAGTGTCTCAGACCCTGCCTAGATCTTTGTAGCAGCGTACCAAGCGCCTCTGATCGTTCGACGAGAGCAGCATACCTGTCGGCAGCGTCTTGCAGTTTGTCGGCAAGAGCGGCAGCCTCGTCTTCGCCTACCAGGGCCATCAACTGGCTAGCAATCTCCGTGAGCTCGCTGAAGTCAGGTTTTCTGGATAGAATGTCCTCGTGAAGGGCGTCGTGCTCCGTGACTCGTTGTTGAATCTTCTCCTCGTCCGTCGGTACCAGTTCCATGTCCCTGACACGCTTTTCTGTCTTGTCCAACCAAATGGCCAAAGGCACCAGCTTGTCTTGGAACTGCTTCGCCACTCCCATCGCCTGTTCCAGGGCGTCCATCCTCTCGGCAGCGCTCTCCGTCAAATTATCAAACCTTCCTACGAGCTCCTTTAGCTGTTTCTCGATCATCTTCCTCTCCTTAGGATCCGCACCGGCGGCAACTTCTTGGCCCATATTGTAAAGGGACGACATCGAGTTCTGTCGGTCCATTAGCATCTTCTTCAGGAACTTCTGCTCTTGCAGTTGCGCTTTGACCACCTTGTAGTCCGAGGAAGGAGATTTCTGATTGGACACCATTTCTTCCGTGTCCGTCAGCCACTTCTCCAAACCGTCCAACGCTTCCTGGAACTTTCCTGACTGGAGAAGTCCCACGTCCAGTCTCCTGTCTCGCTCGTTCAGTCTATCCTTCAGATCGTTCCATCTCTCGTTCATCCTGTCGACGTCTCTTTCGATGGTGATGGTGTTGACATCTCGACCAGCTGTTTGGACCAAGGACTGACCTAGAACGTTGCAGTCGTCGACGGCTCGGGCCAGCGGCTCTATCTTGTTCAGTTTCAGCAGTCTAAAGTCCTCTTGTTGAGCCTTTATGGACTCCACTTCGGATCCTACAGGCTTGAACCTTCTGAAGTGCTCGTTCGCCTCCTCGATCTCGGTTAGCACGGTCGAATGCGACTGGTAGAACTCCTGCAGCTTGTCTAGGGTCGCGGTCAGCTCGTCGTGGCGATCTCGGGAACGGTCGTCGAGCTTTCCGACTTGCCTCTTCAAGCCGGCAACCTGCTCCCTCGTTGCCACGGCGTCCGCAGCGAAGCCATAATCCACCAAACGTTCCCCGAGGTTCTCCAAGTCGCTGACCTCCTCGTACAACCTGTTCACCCTGGTGATAACCTTGCTGGTTTCCTCTATCTGTGTTCTAACGATCTTGATCTCTCTTCCAGGCGCTTTCATCGAGTCCAGCTCCTTCTCCAGACTAGAGACTTGATTGCTGATGGACTTGACGTGGTCGTTGAACTGCGCGACAGCGGTGGCGGCGCTTTGCAGTTCGTTGCATCGGTCGTCCAATTTCGACTGCAGGTCATTTATCCTGTCCGTCAGGTTGTCCACTTCGTCCAGAAGATGTGTTGCGTCGACTCCCTGTTCTCCGGCCTTGTTCGCCAAGTCATTGGCCTGCTGTTTTACGCACTGCAGAGGTTTCTTTAAGTTCGTCGTCTCTTCTCGTAAACTCTGAATCATAATGTGAAGTAAGTCGTTGAATTAACGAGTCTACCGAACTGTCAAGAGACAATCTCTTTATTCTATTTTTATCTTTAGCTTACCTTTATCCTATCGAGAAGCTTCGGGTCTTTGGCTGCGCCTCCTAGGGCGTCGTGGGACGCCAGCTTGTCCTCGCAGCGCTGCAAGCCATGTCGCAGGTCCCTCAAGTTCTCATTGAAGTCCATCAAGTGCCGTGCGGTGTCCTCTAGAGATTGCGTCCTCGTCAGGAGATCTGCAGACATTGAGTATTTAGTCACAGGCAAGGTTTCAAAAGTTATTTAAACGAATAAAGAACTTACCGTTGTTCAACTTGTCCCATCTGGTCTTCATGGCGCCAAGCTCATTCTTTACGTTCTGCTTGTCGATGTCGCAGGCGCCAAGGAATGTTTCGCCGAGCGTCTTGTTGTTCTCAAATTCTCCAGAGTGCTTCCAAACTTCGTTCCTGAACGAGGATAGCTCCTTCAGTTGCTTCTCGATGTCCTTGCGCTTGAATGATGCCGGCTTCAAGCACTCCAGCCGATCTTCGGCCTGTCTGAGCCAAGGTAGGAACGAGTCCTGTGCTTTGTAATACTTCTTGCAATGTTCCGCGCAGGTTTGCAGCTTTGTGTGCCTGTCGAGGATGTCCTTCTTGAGGCGGTCCCACTGCGACTGCATCTTATCCAAGTCGCGCTGCAGAGAACGGTTCTCGACCTTTTGAGATCGAGCAAGCATGTCGCGGCCCTTGTTCAACAGCATGATCACCTCGTGCTCCTTGCCCATCACGTTTCTGTATATTGGCTGACGAAACAAATATGTACAACATGAATAAAGCATAGTTTATAATTATGAGTTGTAATCACTTCCACTTACCTCATGGTGGTCGAGTTGCTGCTGCAAGATATCCCTATCAGCGGACACCAGCAGCTTTTCGGACATATTTCCGAGCTCATCGGCCAGCCAGCCTAAGGTCTTTGTGCAGGAGGCCTCGAACTGCCTTCCGTCCCTTAGATTGCCCTCGATCTCGGCCTTCTTGTGGTCCAGCTTCTTCTGCAGATTGTTGTACATCTTACCAACGGCGGCTAATTTTCCATGGATCTCAGACTTCGATGCTGGATCACTGAGAACCTCGCAGAGCTGTTCTCCGGCCGCTTCGGCGTCAGCCAAAAGAGGCCTCTGTCCTTCCAGTTGTCTTTCCAAGTTCTCGATCTTCCTCAGCTGATCCTCAGGATCTTTTTCGAGTGTCAGATCATCCAGATTGTCGGAGATGGCCTGCAGAGCGTCGCGCAAACGGTTCAGGCTCGCGTCGAACTCTCTGCTGGTGTCCACTGCGTCTCCCAAGCTCTGAGCCCTCTCATCCAGCCTAGCCAACTGATCGGCCCACTTGTCAAGGATCGCCTTCAATTTTGCACCGGTCCTCTGACCATCTGCGGAATCTGTGCCAACCACAGTGATGATGTTGTCTCCTACTTGCACTAGATGGTCCAACTGAGGTTGCTGGGTGCGGAACTCTTCCCGCAAGACTTGCACTTGCTGTACCTGACTAGCAACCATCCTAGGATCAGCAGATATGGGTCCAAGGGCGCCCAGCATTCTTTCCTTTGACCCCAGCCAAGAAACCAGGCCCTCCGACGTGTCGTAGAAGTCCTTCACGTCGTCCAAGAACTTGATCCTGTCCTTGCAACGTTCGCTGAATGACCTCCATGTGCTGCTCACGTTCTCCATATCGTCGTTCAACCTGTCTACTCCGGCTGCACCCTTCTTGCGTCTGACCAAGTCGCGAACCTGAGTCCTAGTGGTGTCTAGCAGGGATTGCTTCTCGTACATCTCCTCGATAACGACCTTGATCTGCTTGGCCGTCTTATCCGCTTCTTCTTTGGTGCTTGGCATGCTCTCCTTCGGTATTTGTCGCTTAATCTGAAGAAAAATGCTCTCTTATCAATACAAGCTCATTTTGAAACTGAGAATATGAAAGTAGATGATGCTCACCTTCTCCAGGAACTGAGACAGTGTCTTCAAGTTGTCCACGTGCCTCCGCAGCTCCTCCCTGATGTTGTCCATCTCGGTTTGCCGGTCGGTCAACCGAACTCCCAGCAACCCGTATCTGTTGTTGATCTCGGAGAGCTGTTGCTGGACAGGCGACAGGTCCTCCAAATGGAAGCCGTCTTGGCTGGAGCGACGGCTACTGAACCCGCTGCTACCACCTGGAGAGACCGGACTTTGAGCAGCATACAATTTAGCGGGAGATGGTGAGCGACCGTCTTGTGACATTCGGCGTACTACAAAAAAAAATGGTGTGTGTGGTGAGCGATGACAGTGATGGCGCTGCGAGATTATCGCGAAGGAGGTGGTGTATAGGGGGCCATTGTCAGCTTCAGTCCAGTTTAGTTTAAGAAATGAAACGAAAATGAATGTGCGTGAAATCGAGACCTTGATGTGCGTGCCGAGATGATGCACTAGGCTCAAAGTGTTATGACTACCAAGCGACTGGCAATGGTGGCAACGATCCGGGGACCAGAGAAACGACCAAAACGTACCTGGCCTCTTTGTTGGACTAGTGCTTCCACGTCTGCGAGTTGGACTCTCAGTGCGCTCCTTCAGCAAGCCATCGTAGGCGATACCGAGGTCGTTGACCTTGTCCACGGTGTTGCCGTAATCGCGGTATTCCTTTTGGATAGGTTTCAGCTCGTCGACCTGTCGTTTCAGCTTCTCAAGGTCGACGGCCACAGGTTCCAACATTTGTACCTTGTTCTCAGTCCTGGTCAGCCAATCGATTACCTGATCCCTCAGTTTCTCGTAAGCGGACAGTTGCTCTGCTCTGGACTTGCTGAGACGTTGTTTCTCGTCGATCAGGTTGTTCACCTCCTTCCACTGCGTCTCCAGAGCCTTGATCTTGTCTCTGATCGGTGCAACATCCGTTACGTCCTTCTTCGCAATCAGACTCTTGCCATTACGGATCAGATCCTCGAAGTTGGATCGCTGGTCCTCTCGCTTGTCCATTAGATTCGCCATCTTGGTGTCATACTCGGCGACGTCTAACTTACTCAGATCTCTTGACTCGAGGGCTTCGATCATGTGAGAATACCAACTCTCGAATTTAGTCGTCTCTACTAAGAAGTCTCCGAGGGCTTGCGCGATCTCGTCGAGGAACTCGCCTCTGCGCAGCGACTTGTCCATCAGCTTCTCGAACCTGGACTGCACGTCGTTCAGCTTGCCCTCTATATGCTTAGCGATCTTAGCATTGCTAGAATTCGTCAGGAGATCCGTCGCGCTGGTCGCCACAGCTTCCACGCTCAGGCGATGACTGTCCAGATCAGCCTGCAGCAGACGTTGGTCTTTCTGCTGCTCCTCGAGTCGTTCCTTCAGCAAGCTCGCTGGTCGTTGGATGTTCCTGCAAAGAATAAGCATTCTTTAGTGGTCCTGTTCGTATAAAAAATCTCGACAGCTAATAATGTTTTGAGATACTTGCTTAAATTGACTCTCGATGCTATTCAGCCATTGCACCAGACTCTGCAAAGCGTCCTGAACACCTTGACTGCGTACCAGAGCCGCGTCCAGTTCCTGACACTTCTCAGCAATCGCGTTCGTCAGTTGTCTGTACTTGTCCTCCAGAGCTCTGGCAGGTTCCTCCAGTTCGTCGACTTCTTTAGGCGTTAGCTGTCCATCCAGAGACCTCAGCAAAGCGTCCACAGAGGCCTTCACGTTCTCTACCAAGCGTTCATTGGCGAGCATTTCGTTGTTCAACGCCTTGGCTTTACTCAGCTGTTCTTCCACTTGTTTAGGCTCGGCGGCGATTGCCTCGGAAATGGCTCTGTGGACCTTGGGTTCGACCTCCTTCAGCCACCTTCTAGCTTTCTCCAAAGATTCACGGTAATCTCTTTGCCTTCCTCCAACTCCAGAGAGTCTATCGGACAGCAGATTGGCCCTGCTCAATAGATCTTTGTACAGATTAGTGACGACCGACACCTCGCCGCGTACAGGAGAGTCCTGGCTCGAGATGAGCTCCTTGTGCGGCAGTCTCTGGGGCAAACTGGTGCGGAATTCGTTCAGGACAAGCAAGAACTCTTTGCTCTCGTCAACGAACTTCTGTGCAGCCATCGTGATGAACCGAAGATCGGCCTGATGGGCTATCACATCGCTGATGAAGTCTCTAGTCGCATCGGTGCTGCTGCTCAGTCTGTTCAGGTCCGACAGGGAATGCTCTTTCTCTTCCAGTATCCGTCTGGCGTTGTCCAGCCAGTGGGAGAAGGTCGACAGCTCATTCCTACGTGCAAGAGAATAATTAGGAAACAAAAATCAAATAAAACAAATAGGAGGAAAGATGTCTGAAAGACGATGCTCACTGGAACTTGACCAGCTCTTGCCTGGCAGCCATCAGCCGCCTGACCATTCTCTCGGCGCGGTCCGTGGCTCTGTCGAACCTGGTCTTCAAGGACCGACCGTTCTTCTCCAAGGTGGACACTTCCTCGCTGGACAAAACGTTGCTACCGGTGAGCACCACCTGACGAATCTGATCGAGGCAGGAGGAGACTGGTCTGGCGTGGGCCTCGAGGTCCTCTTTGATGTCCTAAAAACGTATAATTGCTGTTAGACGGCGACGTGCAAAAGGACGTTCTTTTTTTTAGAAGGATTCCACTGACCTTCATCGCGTTGATCTGTGCTCTGAGCTGGTCAACGTCCTCTTTGACGTTGTCCTGGCCGGCCAGCTTGTCCTCGACCTCGGCTATCCATTGCAGCAGCTTCGAAGAGGTCTCGTCGCACAACTTGTACTTCTCCTCGACCGCTTGCTATGATTTGCAACAGAGAACAGTTGATTGATACCCGACCGGTAGCGACCCAAGGGTACGCGCGATGATCGAACAGAACTTAAATCGCTAACGTGCTGTCTTAGAACGTACTCGAAAAGGAAGAAAGGTAGACCGACCCCTTACCGACGGGTCGGCTGCTCTGCAAAATGATTATCAAAAATACAAGTCGCATAAATGGGGGTGTAGGGGGGGGGGGTAAAAGTCAACAATGGTAAGCTTATATAAACGTATCTCACGCATGCAAAACACATACACACACACTGTTTGGAACGTGTAGAACGCAATAGTACGTTATTTATATGTATAATACTTGGTGTATAATACAGATATAAATATACGTAGAATCGGTTAAATTCGATTAAATTCAAATAAAACAAGAAACAACAAAAAACACAGGTTTTAGAAGAGCCCAATATATAAAACAGGTAATCTGATTGATTGATTGATTGATCTGGCAGCGAGTAATCGGACTGCATACTCGTCCCGTACGTGGTTTTGTTCTTATATGCAGTCGGCAAGCGAACGATGGAACTGAACGGAAGCCGCGTTCTCGTCAATTTAGACGCGTGTCTGCAAGCATAGGTAACAATTACTGAAAAGAAACAACAACAACAAGAACAACAACAAAACGATACGATAAGATCGCGCGAGCCAGACGACACAGAATAGATGGAGCGACTGTGAGAATCGGAAACAACGTGAGACTGACGAGAATATGACGAGCAAGAGTATAAATACGGTGTTGGTGGTTTTCTGTTCAATGGGATTAATTTTTGGTTGTATATATGTGCGGAGGGTGTGGTGGTTTCGCGCGAATATTTTGCGGGGATGCTCCGAGACATTTCCTAGAAAACTTTGGTGCTAGAACGAACAAAACGAGGATCTAGAAGGAGGATTAAGGAAACACCTGAAAAAAATGAGAAAACTTTCAGTGATAAAAACAAACATTGCGAATGCATTCTCCGGCCGTCGCGTGATCATTCGAATGACTCTGTCGATTCGGTTATGTGTGGCGATTAATTCGGGGAGGGTGTGAGTAGTCGGGTGTGACTGTCGGCGTTGATTATGGCAGCCCGAAGCGTAACACGTGGCCACGACTAGTCGCTGTCGATTCGATCGAAATCGTTACACCCGTGTGGTACAACAGACCGCCGCGAGTAGACCGCGACTTTCAACTAATCGATTCGTCGACGAATCTGATTCCGCCACGGTCCACTCGCGACGCGCGTTAATTAATTAATAATAGATTATCTCCTTCCGACGCGTCTCCGTGCTCCGCTTTCGAAGTGCCTTCGTTAACGCTACACCTACCGAGCAGTAAAACAGTGACTAACTAACTGTTGCTTTAGAAGAACGCGACAAGACCGACTGCGGTTTCTTAACAGAGACCACGTGGTAACGTAGGGATAGTAGGTGTAGCGTTAAAGTGGATCGAAAGGAGCGCACGGGCCGTCCATCGAGCCAACGTGCACATTACAACAAACGTTATTATTAACACTATGATCGAGTTAGCATTGCCGATGCGATCAGGCGACAAACGTTGGACGAAGTTTAGTGAACCGCGAATAGTTGTCAGCAAACGAACGATCGAACGATCGGTCACGGTTTCCCGCGGGCTCGGTCGGTGAACCGGTGATTAGTGACAGTCGTTAATGAGAAGTATTAGCCCCCTGTTACGTGACGAGGTGTGAATGAGCTGCGCGAGTGATAGAGTAAGAGCGATCGGGAGAGTGAAATATGTTGAAAGAGAGAAAGAGAGAGAGAGAGAGAGAGAGAGAGAGAGAGAGAGAGAAAATGGATTGATCCTGGATCCCTTGCGATCTACATGTCCCCCATGCAGCGTTTCGATCGCTGGCTAACGTTAGGACGCGTTCGATAGTTATCCATGCAGGATACATCATCCGATGCCGGTCGACGATGACGGTGACGATGATTACAGAATCGATGCGTTCTTTATTTGGCTACGATATATATCTCTGCTTGATAGCGCCGGCTGACAGGCTACCGGCAAGCGTCGCTCGGTAGTGACAGATGTGAGACAGTCGCGAGAGACACTATCGGTCGGCTATCGTCGCACACGTAGAGCGATAGGCGACAGGATGCATCGGTAAGCGTACAATAACGATCCATAACCCTTTGGCAAGCGGTTAAAAATTAGAAGAAAATTCGAGGATTAGAGTCTGGTGAGAATTAAGAGAAAATGAAACGAGAGCGTGTTAGTGGAATGTAGAGAAAACTGGTGGGAAAAGGGTGAGCGACTTAAAGGTATACTCGAGTGACTCGGTGGGGGGGGGGGGGGGGTTGGG